CGCCATGATGAGTTTCTCGCAGCGATATTGAGATTCGACATGGACATTTTAGCCATAAATGAAACATGGCTTAAGCAAGGTGAGGAAGAGCGTGCACCATCGCCACCAGGTTATCGCTTAGTTCACCTACCACGTTCAACTAAAGTCCGTATGCGAGGAGGTGGCGTGGGATTTTATATTAGGCTTGGTATCACTGCTCGTAGAATTTTAATAGGTAACAATGACTCTGTTGAGCAGATATGGATAGGGCTCAATGTTAATGGTATCAAGGTAGCTATTGGTACAGCATACAGACCCCCTTGGCTTAATGTAGACAAATTTATTGACGCACTTACAGATTCGATTTCCTCTATAGCTAATTACGAGCATACCATCTTACTTGGAGATTTCAATATTGACTTGTTACATACGCATAAACCTAACGCGCAAAAGCTACAAAATTTCTTTAACTACATGAAACTTACTCAGTATGTGAACCAGCCGACTCATTTCATAGGAAATAGTGAAACTCTAATTGATTTAATATGTTCCAATACGAATGTACATTGTGTATCTATTAATCATATTCCCGATCTTTGCAATCACGCGCTATTGACATGCCAGTTAAATATTAAAAATATTAGAGGACCTCCTAAATTAATTACTTACAGACCATTAAGAGAAATTGACATTAACAGTTTTAATCTGGACCTGGAATGTATAGAATGGGAAAATGTAATAAATGATGATTTAAATAAAATGGTGGAAAATTTTACAAAAATAACACTTGAACTTTTTAATATTCATGCTCCTATGAGAACTTGTTTAATAAGAAATAAATCACATCCATGGATAACCTATACTATTAAAGAAATGATGAAGTTACGCGATAGGGCATACGCTAAAAGTAAAACTACTAAATTAGATATTCACATAAAATTCTATAAAGATCTGAAAAACGTTGTAAATTCGGCAATGCGTAGCGAAAAAATAGCATATTTCAATAAATATATCAATTTTACTAACAAGCCAAAACTGTTATGGAAAAATATCAAACAAAGTGTTGCCAACTTTAAGAAAGAGGACTGTAATATGGCATCCCATTTATGTAATCCTGAAGATATCAATACATACTTTCTTAAACTTCCCGACATCAGTGAAGACCCCATTAGATTGTCAGTTTTAACTCGCTTTGAATTTGATAGATTTGGCATTAATACTTTCAAATTAAAGACAGTTGATGAAACAATGGTATTAAACGTAATAAAATCATTTAAAACAAATGCACGGGGTGATGATGGCATTACTTTAGATATGATATTGCTTACTTTACCAAAAACTCTGCAACTAATTACGAGATTGGTTAACGAATCTATTAGAACGAGCGTTTTTCCCGAAAAATGGAAAGTAGCCTCTGTGAAACCGATTCCAAAGAAACCAAACCCAAGTAACTATGGGGAGTTTCGTCCAATTAGTATTTTACCATTCATGTCCAAGATCTTAGAAAGAATTGTCTGTACACAGATGACAAAATACCTAGAAGAAAATAAAATCCTACCTGAAAAACAATCCGGCTTCAGAAGGTCTCGTAGTACTACTACGGCATTGTTGGATGTCGTGGACGAAGTTTTAACAGCACGGGACACTGGGCAAGGTACTTTATTGGTCTTGCTTGATTTTTCCCGTGCTTTTGATACGATAAACATAACGCTTCTTCTCTCTAAATTAGCCTACTATGGCTTCGACATTTCCACTATAAAGTGGTTTACAAGTTACCTTTCCAATCGTCTGCAATACGTTAAAATATCCGGTGATAACGGCTCTGATATGGTATCGTCAACAATGCCTGTTGTTAGAGGTGTACCACAGGGTTCTATTTTAGGACCACTACTTTTTATATTATACATATCAGATATCGTAACTACAATCAAGTTTAGTAAGTATCACTTATACGCTGACGACCTCCAATTATTTATATCGTTTAAACCTTGCGATACGGAGTTGGCAACTAGTAAAATTCAAGCTGATTTGAAATGTATTTCAAAATGGTGCAGTGACAACAGTTTGGTAATTAACCCTTCTAAATCAAAGTACATGTTGCTTGGAACACGTAAACAAATTGACAACATCCTAGCTTGGAATCCCCAAATTTCTGTTGACAGTTGTCCTATTGATCGCGTATCGGAAGCTCGGAACCTGGGTTTGATTATGGATGACAGGTTGCGCTTTGAGGAACATGTTATAGAGACAATGCGTAACTGTTTCTATAGACTTAAAGTTTTATACAAAATTCGCGAGTACTTGACTGTGGATATGCGCATTAAGTTGTGTGAAACTCTCATTTTGTCAAAGTTGTCGTATGGTGACGCTGTTTTTGGTGAATGCTTAATGGCAAGAACTAAAAAACTATTACAACGAATACAAAACGCCTGCGCACGTTTCTGTTTTTCAATACCAACTCGATCTCATGTCACTCCATTCCTAAACCGACGTGACTTGATGAACATGTCCACCAGACGGAAGCTTCACCTCGCCTCCCTGCTCTTCGGAGTAGTTAAAACTGGGGAACCTTCTTACTTATACGACAAGCTCAATTTCTCACAGCGTTGCGTTAGAGCAGCACCGCGACTTAACTACACACCGTATAACACTGCTGCTTTCCGTGGTAGTTTTCGTTTTTCCGCTACTAAGTGCTGGAATGATATTCCCCCCCCGATAAGAAACTCGAAAACCATAAATTCATTCAAGTTAAAATTTAAAATGTTTTTGCTCTCCTTACAAAAGTCTAGCACTTAGTTGTCACTCAGCATTTTCATCCCTGTCTCCACATCCCTCTCTCACACGCATACACGCACGCACACACGCACGCGCACACGCACATGCACACACACACACACACTCACATGTACCTTTGTTTGTTTTTATTATGATTTTTATAACCTTGTTGTTTTGGTTTTTACTATCATTATTTCATATTTTGAGATCTGTTACTTGGTTTTTAAGATATTTGTGTAAGCTGACGGTATCGCCATCTACCTTCTTATATATAGGTTCCACTGAAAATCAGCTTTCATGAAGTTTCTTATTATTAAACTTCGTGAATTTAACGCTGAGTGGAAACCTTTTTGGTGCACTAATAGCATAAAATATTTTTATTCTCTTTGTAACTTAATTACTGTGTTTATGTCTTTTAAGTGTTTTTTACGATTGTGTACCAAATAAATATTTTTCTTTCTTTCTTTCTTTCTATATTCATAAATGTTGCAAAATTTAAATAAAGTTAAAAATGTGCAAAAAATTCAAGAGCAAGCCACTGACGTGTTGTTTTGTGTATTAATATAATACTTTTGAAACCAATAAACTTTTATTAAAACTTCTCAATTAAATGACATTTGTGTAACAAAAAACTTTTCCTCAGTGTCAACTAGCGACATCTGGTGAGCAGAAAATTATTAGCCCTCATTGGTAACGTGGCATTCTATTTTCTACCGACTTCAAAAAGGAGCCGGTACTCAATTCGACTGTATGTTTTTTTTTATGTGTGCTACCTCATAACTTTTTACTGGATGAACCGATTTCGATGATTCTTTTTTATTTGAAGGCTGGTGCTTCACATGTGGTCCCATATAAATTTGATCAAAGTCTGACCAATATTTTTTTAAATTCTTAATAATTTACATATATTGACGTCGTTTGTACAAAATTTTAAATTTTAAATTATAATCTCAGTAGTGATAACGCACCTACATTTTGACTCTTAATCGATGATAGATGTAGATGTTGTTGAGCCAAATCATCATCACCGTTACCGTTACAGCATGTTTAAGTCCACTGCTGAACATAGGCCTGCCCATAGATTGCCTCGTAGAAGGAGTATTTGCTATAGTTGCCACGCTTGCAAAGCGGATTGGCAACCGCAGTTTTGTTTTATTTTTAGTCGTTATTAGGAAAACGCTGTTACCCATTTCCTGGTTTGTTTCCCTTTGTCGCCTCTTACGATGCTCGCGGGATGATATGGGATAGTGGATATTCTTGCACCGCCACTACCCGGCGGAGTACCCAACGGAACCCTATTACTGAGTCTATCTGTCTCTTTGTCGCAGGGCTGTAACTATTTAATCATTAGTAACTATAATGGTAATTTTAATGGCAAATTATGAAACGAATAAAGTGTTTAAGTCTTAGGATGTCTTTATATAAGAAACTTCGAAAGAAATGAATTTTCCAACGTCTTTTTGCTACTGCTCTATCTTCAAAATAATAATACCATCATTGAATCTATCATTTTTTTTTAATTTTCACTAGAACCACACCACTTCACGGAGCATAAGCATCGACTTACCATCAAATGGACTATGTGCTCATTTGTCACCCACAATCTATAAAAAAGGTGTTAGAATACATTATAGTAGCTGTATATACTTACGTAATTCCTTCTCTAATCCCAGAATAGACGGTTTTGTTTTTCTATATTATATAAAGTCTGATAGTCCATAAGACCCATCTTATTGGTAACCAATATTAACTCGGTAGGATTAGAGGAGGGTTGAGTGACTCTGTGTCTGTGCGTATAACGTATACACAGTCACACAGTCACTCACCATTGTATTTTATATACCTTGCCAACTGTGAAGAAAGTCAACTAAAGTAATTAGACCACAGTCGAACGTGACGTCACAATTACCCGACCCCCAAAGGATTGTTACTATGTACGGTACTACGTACATATGTACTAATGCGGTTCCTAAGGATGGATGTGGGTAGCTTAAGTAGTTGCCGTATTATTCCCATTCGTCTAACTACTTTAGTCGAGTCGGTTAGTTGGAATTGCAAACTCATGATCGCCATCACAATTAATGGAAACGAAATTTTTCAGCGGTTTGGACGTCGTGTCCATCAGGCAACTGGTGGTACTTCTCCGTTTGCTATCACGTCAAGGCCGGACCATCATCTGCACTGTTCATCAGCCTTCTGCATCGCTGTTCTCTCTGTTCGATCGTGTGTACATTGTTTCAAGGGGCATGTGTTGCTACCAGGTAAATTTTAATCCATCCGTTTATTTATATTCATTTAAATATTTCATTTTGTGTTCTGTACATCTTCATCAGTCCTGTGTTTAATAACTTAAATCATTTCGAACATAAATATTCTAATAGGCTAAATAATATTCTATAATATTCTAAAGGTTAATAAATATGAATAAAAAATCTAATCCCCCTTTTTTCATTTTTTTCTTTAATAAAATGTTACCTCCAAACTAGGATTTCCAGGCATTTTATATACACAGATTTCACAAGGACAAACATCCAGACCCAGAACAATTATTTGTGGGCCATACAAATAAGTACTTGTTCCGTGCGGGATTCGAACCCGCGTCCCTTAGCGCTACAACTCATTGCTAGCCACTGCGCAGCGGAACCGTTTTCCTTATTGATTATAACATTTATGTTCATTTTTTCATCAGAAATTTTCATCATACCTCTGTTAGTTGTACACCGCTTAAGTTACATACATATACACTTTTTTAACAACAAAGATCATCGTTTTCAAGTCATCCCATTTGTCCTACAATGTAATTGCCGACTCAAGCCAGCTACTCAAAATCCTTTAAACTATGTTTTTTTTTTTTTTTTATTTATTAAGATATACAAACAAATGTACAAAGGTATTTATAAAAGTATTATCAAAAAAGAGTATAATATATGTACATTCAACACCGTATACCACATATTAGTATAAACAATAAGTAATAAGTAACGAGTTGAAGAGAAAAAATTACTATCACAAAAAATATATAAGTATTAAACAGTATAAGAGACGTTTGCACAAATAAAATTTTAAATTTGTAATACCTGTAATTTATTCTTAATATATTTTTTAAAGCACATATTTGAGGCAGTAAAAATATCAATATCGCTAAAGTAATCATTATATGATTGCACTATGCGTCTTAACGGGGAACGAAGACCAGCGTTAGTACGACAGATTTTTGTCATAAATAGGTTATGTGAGTATTTCTCACGAATACGTTGTGAACCACTTGGAACGCGATAGAATATTTGATTAGTGAGTTGAATACAATCGATATCATTATGACATAGTTTATACAAATATAAATTATTTATAAGTATCCTTCTTTTGTAAAGAGGTAGGAGCGAAAATTTATCTAATAAATTAATATAACTTGAATACGATCTGTGATAGCATCTATAGTTAACGGTTTTTAAGAATTTACGTTGGATACGCTCTAACTGAAGATTGTATTTCTCATAGAATGGGTTCCAAATGATAGAGGCGTACTCCAATATCGGTCTGATCAGAGAATTAAACAAGTAGATATATGAATTGATTCGAACGAATTCACTACAAGAGCGAATAATAAAACCAAATATACAAAATGCTTTGTTGGTAATATAGTTAATGTGATCGTTAAAATCAAGTTTTGCGTCTAGTATAACTCCTAGATCTTTAATTAGATCCACCTTACATAACTCTGTATTATTAATAGTATATGTATTATTTATAAGCTTACGCTTCTTTGTAAATGTTATTGATTTACATTTATCAACATTAAGCTGTAGTTTATTTTTAGTACAGTACAAAGATAAGCGATAAAGATCACTTTGTAACTTAAAGTTGTCATCAGCGCTTAAGATTGGCAGGTATACCTTTAGGTCGTCAGCGTAAAGTAGGAAATGGCTGTGATGAAAGCAATTGTTGATGTCATTGATAAATAAGATAAACAGCAAGGGACCGAGAATAGAGCCTTGTGGTACACCTGATGTGACAGTAACTAAGTTAGATGAATGGCCGTTGACGACAACTCTCTGAGTTCTTTTTGTAATGTAAGAATGAAACCATCTGAGCAAATCACCACGAATCCCATTAAAAGCAATTTTCTTGAGTAATATATAGTGATCTACTTTATCGAAGGCCTTACGGAAGTCAGTATACACAGAATCGACCTGTATTCCCTTATCCATATGTTCAAATAAGTATGTAGTATAAACGAGGAGATTACTTACTGTGGATCGTTTTTTAACAAATCCGTGTTGTTCGGGTATGATTATATTGTGAAGGACAGGATAAATAACATTATGTACTAATCTTTCAAACACCTTTGACAATACGGATAGTAATGAGATTGGCCGATAATTCTCTACGTCGTTCTTGGATCCCTCTTTATGAATAGGAGTGATATTCGCTGTTTTCCAAATAGCAGGAAAGACACCATCTTGAATGCACTTATTGTAAAGAATCGTCAGAGGAACACAGATTGTGTCCGCTGTATATTTAAGGAAGAAAGGAGGAATACCATCCGGTCCAGATCCCTTGCAAACATCTAAATTTTCAAGTTCTTTTTTTACCATATCAACAGTGAAATTTATAGTAGAAATAAAGCCATTTAAACTAGAAATGTTTGGTTCTGTTAAAAAATTACTATCAGATGTAAACTTCTCTGAATCTAAGTTAGATGGTTCAAATACGGATTTAAAGAAGCTTGAAAACAGATTACATGCTTCGTCTGGTAAGTTAGTTGCTTCCTGTTTGTATTTGATATTATCTGGAATACTATTGCTATCTCTACGATTATGAATGTATTGCCAAAATTTCTTAACATCTTTTCGTAGGCCATCTTCTATCGTATTCATGTACTTGCGAAAACAAAGGACACATTCAGCTTTGAATCTGGAACGATAAATGGAGAAAGATTCATAGTCGGAATACGTTATGTTAGCAACTCTAATTCTACAATGCAAATTCACAATTTCATTTTGTGGATTTTATCACCCAGAGTTAGCACTTTATGACACTCCGATTATATGAATAATACTCTCAACGGCCGTATTGTGTTTGCGCTCAGTAGACTGTCACCGGCAATACGGTTATAATAACCGTGCCGGTGACACCGTTTCTTCCACACAATTTGTCAGTGCCCCTCTTTCCTTATTTCCTTCCGATAACAATAAGGCTGTCATCAAAACAAGAACAAATAAGCTTTCGTCTAACAAATTCAAAGTGGGATTTATACCTTTTCTTCGGCTACATCAACAATTATCTAATGGTAAGATAGTAAACAAAACTTAGTGAAAAAATCTGGCCATGTGCGTGTCAAGCCACGCAAAATGTAGAGGCAGGATTCCGTAGTTGCCCGTCACAATACGTGGGCTTTCAAAGAAACCACAAACCTCACTTAATATTCTCATTATCAAGATAATGAGCATAATAAGTGAGGTTCGCAGTTTGACCGCAATAATGACTAAAATGTGCCCAAATAGGAAGGTCGTAACTGAAGGACTTATTTTCACATCAGACTTATAGGGAGTGGTGTTCAAAAAAGATTAAAAAACTTTTCGATTAACTCAATTGAAAATAATACAATTTACATCAAATCATTAACATACCAAGGTACAAAGATGATCATAGTTGACGATCTATGTATATATTCCCGGCAGTGCAACCCTAAGCTATACATATATGACCGTAACGAACCTTCACGTAAACCACCACTGCTTTAAATTATCCTGAGGTCGCCCGCGTAAACCAAGAGTGTGATGAATGAAACTTTATGAGGCTATATGATTGTATGAATATTTTGAATAACGTCTAAAATAACTACCAACTAAAACATAAGCGAAAGTTGTAAGTAAGTAAGAAAGACCCTCCCTGCCTATCCCGCAAATGAAAAAGTAAAGCTATATTAGTATTACTACTATAGCTTTACTTTGCATTAAATGCATGCATTCGTTTTCTTCGCATAAAATGATAATTTTTTACAGTTTAAAATAACATTACAGTTATTATGCAGTTAGTTTTAGATCATTTTCTATGGAGTTGTAACGAAATTTTTACTAACACAAGTGAATTTTATAAGTTGGTCAACTATTACTCGTTAACTTCTTAATTATACTTAGCTGTGATAGTTGTGTTCAGTTCACATTTCCAAAAAAAGCGGTTTAGTTTTAGTTTTCGCAAACGCACCAGTGAATCGAAAATATGTTGTTCTACACCCCCATTATTTTTGAAAGACCTATTTAACGATACCCATATGATGGACTAGATGGGTAAAAAAAAATAATCCTCTATTTACTTGTATGGGAAGTACCTAAAATAAAAATGCTTTTTAAGATTTTATTTCACAGTTTTCTAAGCGTTAATATCTATAACTGTGCCAAATTACAGATTTGTAGCACCTAGGATCCCTGAGAAAAACCGCAGAGGGACGGACGGATGGACATTGCGAAACTATAAGGGTTCCTTGTTGTGTAACTACGAAACCCTAAAAAGAAATGGGTTGTAAAAAAATATAAAAATATGTTTTTTTAACACAATTTCTAGGGTTCCGTGCCCAAAGGGTAATCAACAGGACCCTATTACTAAGCCTCCGCTGTCCGTCTGTCTGTCTAGCAACAGGCTCATAAGCCGTAATAGGTAGAGAGTTGAAATTTTCACAGAATGGGTATTTCTGTTGCCGCTATAACAATAAAAATAAAAACAAATTAAAAATTAAAGGTGACTCCCCTACTAGAAACGTGTTTTTTTTTTCATGCATAGTATTAAATCTTGTACAATGGTATGGATGGTATCCTATATGAGCGAATCCGACTCGCACTTGGCCGGTTATTCAATCGTCAGATTAATGCTACCTATCAAACAAATTATAACCAGGCTGAATATTTTTTTATAGTATAAAGGTGACAAACAAGCTCACAGTCCACGTGATAGTGATTTATCCTCAATTAAGAATCAAAATTCAGATTACGTGTTAAAGCCCTGCTGCAGCTATATTAAGGTTTAAGCACGAATGGGTCAGCTCAATCGAGGTAGAACCACGCTCTCACAGAATACCAGTGTAAAATAGCTGCTTAATGCTGCCGTATTTCGTATGGTGAGTCTAGAGAACCGGATACCCTTTTCACCCCTGAGTACTAAAATAGAATGCCTCGTTTCCAGTAAAATACCTCACTGCATCATGGCTCTACCACGTTACAAAAATACAAAACGTTATAAAAGTAAAACAACCGCACTATTTTCGTTCAACTTTAGTTTTTAATTTGCTTATGTTGTATTTTATCATGTGAATAACTTTTATCTAAGGATTGAAAAATCGGCCTTAAATGTGAAAGGAAATAATTCCAAATTTGAAAAATAATTCATTTATATTCACAAATGTGCGTAATGTTAAACTCAAGGAACGAAAACAGTAATGGAGCAAAAAAGATTAATAACCTTTTTCTTTTTTACATACATACTTAATGTTTCTGTTCCTTTTAAGTATTAAATTTAACATATATAGCAAATCTTGAAATATAATTAGACATTATAGCATAGAAGCCTTGTCTTATAGTTAGAAACCACATAATATATTATCATAATAATATTCATTGTGGTTACATCAACTAGCGTTTAGAATTAACACAATTTGAAGAAACCGCAACATGTTGTAAACGTTTTTTACACAATAAAAGTGTTCGGTTTTTGATGTTAACATTATGTATATAGGTAATCTGCGATATATATACTTAGGGAATAATATTTACGTATATTAAAAATATATGGATTTATGTGCGTAAAAATACTTTAACACAACGGTCGCCAACAGAATCCTTAAATATAAATATGGTCTATGTTAATGACATTTTATTTCTACATAACTTTATCATCATTTTATTCCCACAATAAAACTATCATTTTCCGCCACAAAAACAAGATGGAACGTCCATTAGAATGACACCGACATTCTTCGAACGAATAAGAATATGTAAGCCAAGGTATTGACAACTGACTAGTTAATAGGCAAATTCCATAAGTATAGTATCATTTTCAAGCCAACTTATATACATCTGTTAATGTTGTATATATTTATGATTTATGTTATGATATGATTTTATGAGATTACTTTATTGATGAAGTCAAGTAAATCTCATAAGAATGGGTGCAGGTTGCTCGGGACCGTGCTATGTGACATTACATATAGGGCTGTAATGATGATGATGACTTATGACAAATTTAATCTATATTCCTTCGTGATTTACATATTCTCAATAAATAATAATAGATTTCATTACTACTGTACTTGTTTCATAATTAAATTTTGTGTTATATTGTAGTTTGATTGCATATTTTATCCAAAATAATTATATTAAACAGGGCGCGGCTCCCCTGCTCATTCCGTTTCTGGCCGAAATTGGCCACATATGTCCATCAACGCACAATCCCGCTGACTTCGTGTTAGAGACTCTCGCCACCGAACCGGAGGCGTCCGCTCAGATGTCGGAGCTGTGCCAAAATGGAAAACTCTGCCGAAAGTTGGACAGGATGACATTTAGAGGAGGAAGGTGAGTTCTTAACAATTAAAATAATTATAATGGTTGAAATATGAATTTAGATAATTTATAAAATAAATGTTAGTTTAATATAAAACGAAAGTATTGACTGCATTATAACTGAAAGAGGGTGTCCTGTAGTTGCGGTGTAAGAATATCCACTACCTCATATCGTCCAGTGGGTGTCGTAAGAAGCGACAGGGGTAAACAAACTAGGAGATGGCCAACAGCCTCTTTCAAGTAACAGCTAAGAAATAAAAAAATGCGTTTACCAACGCTTCTGTCGAGCGTGGCAACTATGGCAACTATCACCCCTATAGGACAATATATGAGGAAGCCTACGTCCATGTAAAGGAATTCATCGCCCCATTTCGTCTCGTGGGAGTCATAAGAGGACTCTATGGAAAATTCCAGGACAATCATATGGCTTACATAATGTCTCATAATCCAATTCGTGTGCCAGGAGTAGCGATTAAGGCAAATTCACCCTACTACGGGGGACCCGAGGTCTCTAACATTTGACTGTTTACAGTCTTATAATGACAAGTGATAAAATTAAAAAAAATTGTACAGCCGATTTCAATATAACAACTTTGACAGAAATTAGGATATACCGTGATATACTGAATACATCTGCGTACCCCTTTAGAGAGTACAGGCGTGATCTTATGTTGTGTGATTGCGTAAACGCATAATACGATTGCAGCAATCGCGGTTGATTTGCTGGCATTTATTGAAGAGTTCCGCTGTCTGAAATTTAAATGGGACCATTTCGGAATAAGCCTATTTCGAACAAAAAAAATTTTTTTCAGATCTGTCTATATATGAATGAGATATGCCCGAATATCCATAAAAAAATATATAAAAATAATGTTGATATTAATAGTAAAAGTAACGAGCGATAGGATAGTTGCCACCCTTGTTATTTGTATTTTATGCTTCTGGATAAGATGAAATGCCCCTTTAACAGTAAAAAGAGTATTTTTAATGAGCTGTTATAATCCTTAATGTGTATTTTAGTAAAAAAGAATATAGGTGGAAGTGTTTTCTTAGAAGGAGTGCGCAAATCATTAACATAAATTTACAAAAAAGAAAAACTCCAAATATTACGTTGCTCATGAGAGGTATAACATTCATTGTATTATTTCCTTAACTCACAACAGCGCCCTAAATATTAAGGAAGGTGGGCCGAAAAGTCATATTTCACGAAATATAATTTCATCTGAAAGCTTTATCTTCAAAATATAAAGTGAAAATACCTTTCCACTTTTAATAATGAAACCTGAAGTTGTAATTCAAAATACCATGGAGTAATATCAGAGTCTGGTAAAATCTTAAATAAAATTGGCATACCGTACATATTGAAAATGGAATAATTTTATTTATCACACAGAATATAACCACTGCGTTTGTGTTCATGCTTATGTTATTTTCTTCTTTTGTGTTTGCATGATTGTGTTCTTTTTTCAAATGACAAAAAAATAATAATTGCAGTTAAAAATATTCACTCATTCATTTTTCGATTACAGCCTTTTTTATGCGTATTAGGCCACGCTGCAGCATGTTATGGTTGTAGCACGAATGGGTTGGCACAACCGGGGAAGGGCCACGCTCTCGCAGAATACCTGCGTAAAATAGCAGTTTAATGCTGTTGTGGTTCTTTATGGTTTATGATGATGTAGAAACCCGGAGACCCTTTTTACTGGAATGGTAACAATCCTTAATTCAATAAATCCTTAATACATAGTCCTTAGGGGTGATAAAGCATTCTGCATTTTAATTCTTAACCGAGGATAGATGTAGATGTAATTGCCGACGTTTCGATCACTTTACTTGATTGAAATCCTGATGTCATAGTTAACGAAGGTTACCTTCAACTTTTAATTATTAATTTTTAGTCCGATCTACATCTACACAGAACGAGCTTACAATATCTTCAAGTATTTAAATAAAACTAATTTTACGGATTTTATCGCTTATATGAACTTATTTTATATTCCCGACGTTACGAACACTTTACAGCACCCATGGTCACGGGGGGACTGAGGTGTATGACGTCCTAATGTCATAGTTAACCACGGCTACCTCCAGATTTAAAATTATTGATTTTTGTTCCGATCTACGCAGTATGAACTTACAATATCTTGAAGTCTTGCAGTTGTATGCTTGGGTTGGGATTTAATTTTATTAATTATGGGATCCCAAGCAGATGGTAGCACCCAGCCATCTTCTCTATTGAAATTAGGATGTTTTTTGATTTCAATACCCTCACGAATCATCCTTGGAAGGAATCGGTGTTCTTTAGCGAGGATTTATGGTCTATCAAATCTAATGTAGTGACGGGGGTGATCCTGTACATGTTCATAGACTGCAGACTTCCCTGAGCGTCGATTCTTCACATCTGCTATGTGTACTTTAACGCGGGTTTTTATGGATCTTTTAGTTTGTCCTATATATGTTAGAGAGACCACATTCACAATCAAACTTGTACACTCCTGCACGATAAAATCTGTAAAATTAGTATTATTTAAATGTGTAGTGTTCGCGTAAATATAAGAAATCATTATCTTCAAGTATTGCAGTAGTATGCTTGGGTTTGGATTTAGTTTTATTAATTTTGGGATAACATATAACCTATTTAATAAAAAAAGGAACCATCAAAATCGGTTCACAATTAACGAAGATATCGCGTAAATACGTATAAAACAACATACACGAAAATTAAGAATTCTTTCTTTTTTTTTTTATAGGATAAGGGTGACAAACGAGCACACAGTCCACCTGATGGTAAGTGGTTGCTGTGGCCCATAGACATCTACATCTATCCTCTATTAAAAATCAAAATGTAGATGCGTTGTCACCCGTGAGGACTAAGATGGAATGCCTCATTTCCAGTAAAAAGGGCCTCCGGCCACCTGCACTCACCAAGCGAAACGCAGAGGTAAACCTCTACTTCACGCTGGTTTTCTGTGAGGTCGTGGTACCACCCCGGTTCGAGCCGGCCCATCCGTGCGACAGCAAAAGCTGCCGCGTGGCTCTACCACTGTTCGAATACATCTCAGAGCTTCTTTGTCCTGATATAAACGTACACGTTCATTGAACTGGAAGTATTTTATTTGCCTACGGTTTAACCCACTTATTATTATTTTTATATACATTATATATACATTACAACTAAAAATATATAATTGGCAGTACCACTGTAAAATAAATGTTCTTTTTAAACTAAGCTAAAAATTTGTTTCAATTTTCAGAAAGCCCGTTTTACACTCAGACGATTCAATTCAGAGAATCTTTGTTGAACATGTTGCCAAAGAACAACTGCAGAAAATGGAATTCCCGACAACGTTCTTAACACAATTCATAATATTGACGAAACGTATGTTCATGCAAAGTAGACGAAATTCGGTAAGTAACATACGAACATTATTAATCTTTTAAACATGTGACAAAATATTTAATGAAGAATTTTCTTCGGCTTTTAACTTTTTTAAGTGTTGGTATATTTTTATATCAAGATTAAAAGTACGAACTAATGGTAAGTGTTAAGTGGTGTTAATAGGTTATAAGACTCCTTTTCTGCCTGGTAGTTCTTTTTAGGGTTCCGTACCTCAAAAGGACAAAACAGAACCCTTACAGGATCACTTTGTTGTCCATCTGTCTGTCTGTCAAGACCCTTTTTCTCAGAAACGCGTGGAGGTATCAAGCTGAAATTCATAAAAAATACTCAAGTCTACTGTCCCTTGGAGCTGTGAAAAAATCAAACTTCTAAGCCAACGCAATCAAAAAATACAGCCGTTTATGCCGCAAATTTTCGACATTCACAAGGGAATCAAAACCTACAGGGTACTTCCCGTGAACTCAGAATCTTAAAATTTGATACGAAGCAACGTGTTATAGCACAGATAAAGGAAAAATTGCGAAAAGCATAAATTTTTAGTTACATCATATATTAAAAATATTTTTCATAATTTTAAACTTATATACCTACGGATTTGTTCGGAACCCTCGGTGCGCGAGTCCGACTCGCACTTGTCCGGTTTCTTTATAGAATAAGAGTAACAAACGAGCATGCAGTCCACCTGATAGTAAATGGCTTCTGTGGCCCATAGACATCTTAGCATTCGATCAGCCTGTTAAGAATCAAAATGCCAGTAAAAATGGTCTCCAGTTCAAGTTCAAGCCATTTTACGTTGTATATACATATTGATATGACTGTATGCATGGTCGGCTGAATTGTTAAAGTTTATTATGAATTATTTAAAACTGTTCAAAATGAAAATGTGGAATAAAAAATTGGCCATATCCGTATATGGTTGCGCTGCAAAATGTCGTTGTTTTCAAATAAACCATATTAATTCAGACCATACATTTCATAGTACACTTTTTGACTTCGTCTATCTTAATAATATTTAAATGATTTCAAGGAAAAAGGTAAAAGAAAGGAAGACAATCCGACTACATTTTCTTTAATTTTAAAATGTCAACCAGATCCGATTATAACTGAAGTCAGCTTATATTTAAGAAGCTTTAACTGCAAGCTATTTTCAAATTTATAATTGAGAAAACTATGCTTAACGAAACTTTCAAATTATTTTCAAAAACGTATATAAAAATACACCAATATACCAGTAGGGATGTGGAAAACTAGTTTTGCTATTTGGCCAACTATTTACATTATAAAAAGTAAAAAATATATTTGTTATAACTCCGCTGTTACATGCCATAATTTTGTTCTGTGGGTCCCAATGTGTCACAGAATCGTCACTTCTCCATTTGAACCTGAGTAGTTTATAGAACTACCTGTGTACATTGTATTTTTAAATTAGTAACTTATAACTTGGGACATTGGGATATACAGAACAAAATTATAGCATGTAACAGCGGCACACTAAAGAGGTATTTTTCATCAAGAATCATAATTGTGTATCTAATTTGCTGCTTTATGTTAATAGAGAAAAGATTTACTAATTTTGAAGTGTTAATGGTTTTTTCCAATTAGAGTATGCGCAGGAATTATATGATTTAATTATTTCCTCACCTTTTCACCGTCAGACAAGTAAACTTCCCCCCTATTGTTAACCTTTGTTGGCGATATTTCACGCATTCTAAACAAACGGTTTGCTCTGTCTTTTGTAATGCATACAGCATAATGAAATAATTTGCTGGCGTCTGTTTTTCCATCCGATTACAATATGAATGTCTGCAAAGCAAGAGTGAATATGAATGGGCTTTTGTTTCGCTAAGACGACTTGTAATCTATGGCTACCACTAAATGGGAGCCAAGTATTGGCTTATAAATTATAATACGTATAATTTAAAATTTAAAATTTTATACAACCTACTTCAACAATTATTACGAATAACTCAAAAACTATTGGTCATACCATGATCAAATTTATATGGGACCACATGTGAAGCACCAGCTTTCAAATTAAAAAAAGAATCATCGAAATCGGTTTACTCAGAACAAAGTTATGAGGTAACATACATAAAAAAACATACAGTCGAATTGAGTACCTCTCCTTTGTGAAGTCGGTAAAAAAGCAATCACTTCCTTTCATTATTCTCGGTAACATCTAACAGTTAAGCAAAGTCCTCTTATGCCAGCTTCTCTTTCTTATAATTGAACGCTAAAAAGCATCCCTTTGTCGTATCTCCTCAGTTTCAAGGCACTCCTCTTGTTGCCTCAGCCAGTATCGGAATCCTTGGCGTCGACATATCGAGTGACGTGCAGTTTCGTGGTCACTTGGAAGAGAAGGCCAAATTGGCCTCTAAAAAGCTTGGCGTGCTCAGCAGAGCGGGACAGTATTTCATGCCGGCACACCGCTTGCAACTTTACAATGCGCAGGTTCGGCCTCACATGGAATACTGTTCCCATCTCTGGGCAGGGGCTCCCCAGTGCTAGCTCTTTCCACTCAGAGCGGTTCGAATCGTTGACGACCGAGTTCTTTCCGATCGGCTTGACTCACTGGCACTGCGTAGAGATATTGCATCTCTTTGCGTTTTTTATCGCATCTACCACGGGGAGTGCTCTGAGGAATTGTTCGGACTAATTCCAGCCGCTCAATTTCACCATCGCATATCGCGACAAAACTCGCGATACCATCCATATCATCTGGATGATTGGCGGTCCACTACTGTGCGATTTAGAAGAAGTTTTCTCCCTCGCACAATTTCCTTGTGGAATTATTACCACCAGCGATTTTTCCGGACCGATACGACTTAGGGACCTTCAAGAAAAGAGCCTACTCCTTTTAAAAGGCCGGCAACGCATCTGCGATTCCCATGGTGTTGCAGTTGTTCATGAGCGGCGGTATTCACTTACCATCAGGTAAGTAGCATGCTCGTTTGCCCCCTCTCCTATAAAAAAATGAATCGAATGATTTCTTTTATTTAAATAATTTTCCACAAAACGCGATCCTGAGCCGCTTAAGTCCATCGACTTCTTGCATCTCTTACCAGATCGTTATTCTACTAGGGTTGATCCAGAAATAAGGTTCCCAAAGAAGTCCAGCCGCACGGAAAGGTGCAAGGCAAAATTCGGCAACAGCGCTATGTGCGGCTGTTTCCCAAATCTTGATTCTGCCCGGCCGCACTTTGCTGTGCCGCTCAATCTTAGTTTAGCATCTGTCCGAGAAAGAGGTGCCCATTCTTGCTTCCGCCAAGTGCGAGATTCGTTCCGTAATTCTCTTTTTACACGCCAAATGGATTCCACCCTTGGGTATTCATTGTCAGTTGACAAAGGTGAATGGCGACAAGTGTATGCCTATTCAACACATCCGAAAATAACGTTGCTTCACGACAACGCCCTACCTGACGTCTCCCGTCAAACCCAGGAACTTTTGACAAATTTTAAGTGGAGTGTTATGCCCCAAGCACCGTACAGTCCGGACCTAGTCACTTGTTCTTGCTCGTTATTGGAACACTTGAGTGGCCAACGCTTCCGAAGCGACGATGAAGTCAAAGACGAAGTGAAACGCTTCCTTAAATCGTTGGCGGAGGAGTTCGATAACATTGCCATACAGAAATTGGAGCACCGTCTATAAAAATGCGTAGAAACAGATGACGATTATGTCGAAAAATATACTTTGATATATTCTTCTATACTATAGTCTTCTTTCGAACGATGTACATAGCTACGAGAAGAAACAATGTTATATATTTGAAAAATTAATGGGAAACTTATTTCTGGATCCACCCACGTATCTTGTGGGCTGCTCTACACTTCGCTTACCGGTACGAGACTGCAACTCGAGAAATTTTATTTTCCATCGATTGCGTTTATGGCCAGCCAAGGTCACTTAAGTTTACTAATCTATAGAGCTATGTCGGTTAGTTGGTTCTACTGTGGATATCCTTCTTACAAAGTCTATCAGGCGGACTACCTACTAATATAGCCTATATAATATATTATTTATATATTAGCAGCAAAATAAAATGAATTAGCAGATTATTTTTTAATCTATATTTTTAATTTCACAATGATCCCATATAAACTTCAAACATCGCTATCAAGTGGGATGCTGTGCCTCAAAGACATTTATTCTCGATTAAGAATCAAAATGCAAATGCGTTGTCACTCCAAGTATTAAGATAGAACACTTGGTTACTTGCCAAAGGCGGGTCAACGGTTCTCTAGCCTCATTCTAATACAGCAGTATTAAGCTGCTATTTCACGCTGGTATTCTATGAGAGCGTGCTCTTTCCCGGCCGAACCAGGCTATTCATACAGCCATAATAACATAGTTGCATCGTGGTTCTACCATGCTTAATTTCAGTACAATAAGCTCACTTCAGATCATATGTCACTCCAAACACTGCCACAAGATTCTCAGCCACCTACATCCATCTCATTTAAAGTCTCATAAATTCTTCGCTCAATTTATACCAAACGTCTGATTACCGCAGATCTTTCTTAGAAGTCCCTGTCCAGCGCTAGATTAGTATGGTCTGATAAAGAATAAGAAGAAAATAAGTAGCGTCATGCTACAGCTATGTTATAGTTGGCGCACGAATGAGTTGGCGCAATCGGGAAAGGACCACGGTGTCACAGAAAACCAGTGAAAAATAGCAGCTTAATACTGCAGTGTTTTGTATGGTTAGTGTAGAGAACCGGAGACCCTTTTTACTGGATACGAGGCATACCATCGTAGTCTTTAGGGGTGAGAACGAATCTGCATTTTGATTCTTAATCGAAAATAGATATCTTAGGGGCACGGCATCCCACTTGCCATTGTAGGCTGATAATAATAATGATAGCGATGGTTGAAAATGAAGGTTGAAGCTGTCACCCTCAGTCTGTAAAAATCTTCTTTTTCTTTCTTTTTGTTTATTAAAAAAACGTTACCTCCACACTAGGATTTTCTCACGTAGGGGCAGTTTACATACATAAATGTCACAAGGACTAACATCCAGACCCGGAACAATTACTTGTAGGCCATACAAATACTTGTTCCGTGTGGGATTCGAACTCGCGGCTCTTAGCGCTGCAACTCGTTGTTATGCCACTGCGCCACTGAGCCTGTTTTAATATGTTTTAATCAATAAGAAAAAGTAGACTAGAGATCATATTTGACTTATAGAAGTTTTTGGCTTACATCCATTTTTAATCACGTTATTTACTCCCCACTATGGGGCACAAGCCTCCTCACATTTTTAGAGCGTCGACTTATGGAGTAATAAGGCCACCGCGATGCTACAATGCATGTTAGTAGTGTCATAACCATTCAGGTATTTTAATAATATGTTATTATTACTAATTTTGTTATTATTGCTATTATTAATTTGTCACAAAATCAGCACATCTAACCATCTTCCGCTATACCATCCATCAAACATGTGGGGTAGTAGTCAAGCAATGGCTTATAATATATTAAAAATAATAAAATAAGCTTTCATTTTAAAATATAATCGAGGATAAAATTTTCAGTTTTCTTGTTTAAAAAAGAACGTAGTTCCATCTTTGAATTCATCGCTCAATGTCATAATTAATCAACATTATCTGTTTCGCAAATACTTGCTCATTCGCTAATGCAGTCGTCCGTAACACGTTTTAGTCATTTTAGTAATGAGCAATGGACATCGAGTATTCAATTATTTCTGTAACAGTAAAACAAAACTAAAACCTTAACTAATTTTACAAATTCTTTAAGAAATTTTAAGCCGTGTATATAATATTATTTCCCGTGTATCTTCAGTAATTATAACATTAAAAAAAAAAACTTTTGAGTGGAGAATTAAATCTACAACCAATACAGATTAAGTTTTTAATTCTTTACGAATTGAATAACAATTTGAATAATGGACGAATTAATTACTAATTCATAGGTCCATTATTCAAATTTATTTACCTTTAAGCCAAAGTTTCTCATTTTAAAACAAAATCAATAGTGACCTAGAGGAATAGAATGGAAAGTAAACAAAGAACATCTAAAGTATTTACTCGAAATAACAAGAACTTTAAATTTTTGTACTGTAATTATGTTTTAAAGTAAAAAAGTAAAATAATAATTAATAACATGTTATATACGACCCACTCTCTAGCATTGCGGATTTTTGTTTTATCTTTTAACCGCCGAACATGAGATAAATCAGTATAAAAATTTCAATTAAGTAACAATTTCACAATAATGAACCTCCTTACCTTCTACTCAGGCTAAGGAGGTTCATTAGCCCGTTAAGGTCCACTGCTGGACATAGGCCTCTCCCATTATAGAGAAAATTTGCCCACGTCCATGCAGGCATCGCAATACCAAACGTGTGACGCTACTTCTCGCTAGGCTTGTGTAAAAAATATCGATATATCGAAATATCGATATTTTTAATAAAAATATATATTATATTGATGATATTTTAAATCGTGATATATCAATATTTATTTTAGAGTATCGAATTTGTACCAATTTCGATATATTTTAAAATGTTTTATTAATGAAAAAACATGTTAACAACAAAAGGAGGTACAAAAGTATTTATGTGTGGTTAGTTGTCGTTTATTTTCGTCTTCCAACCGTCAGTAATATAAAAATATATCGATACATCAATATTTGTCACGCGATGTATATCGATACTGCTTAAAAATATCGATTTGATATATATCGATATATTTTTCCCTTGCCCATCGCTACTTCTCGCCGTCGGCCTGGGTAATGTACGCCGATGTTAAGGACATGGTTAGACCGCTATCTATCGGAAGCCATCAAATCTTTTTAGCATACATCACAGTTGCTTCTTACGACACCCATCAGCTGAAATGGGGTGATGCTCTTACGCCTTTACGAGTGTATCATAGGTCATGCAAGTATTTAGCTTGTCTGATAGTAGCCTCTTGCGACTAGTTGATTGGAGCGTAGAATGTATCACTAGGCTTAATCTCTCCTAAACAGAGAAACATAAACGGTTTCAATACGCACTTTTGTTCAGATTCCGTTGACATTTCGATCTTGGTTTCCAACGGAATCAGTTTTTTCACAAACTTGTATTTTTCATTACTCGTGTGCTCGTTAGTATTTTAACATAAAAACCAGTGCATATGTCAATTCCTTATCATATTTTTATTACATTTAGTTATTTTTTCATCATCATCATCACAGCCCTTCACAAGTCCACTGCTGAACATAGGCTTCAAACCCCTTCACCATCTCTTAACTGGTCGTCCCTGAGCGACCTTATGCTTCCTCATACAGCCAGCAGTGAAGGACCACATTCCAATTCCATGTGTCGTCACTGGCAACACACTGGTCGTACCCTCTTGTTTAAAGGTTTTAAACAATACGCGACGAGAAGATGCGTCGTAATCTCCCGAACGCTGCCCAGCCAAGTTAGATCCCTCTGTTTTCTAAGTATATTATGGGTTAATTAATTATTTAATTTGGACATGTAGTATATAACCATAGGCCGCATAACTTTTGGTTTAATCATAGATACTTTACGTTTACATGCTTAAGTACTTTTTAGTATATGTCATATAGTATTATTTTATTTTATTCCTTTACAATACATCCTGGCATGGCTTAGGCAAATCCTCATCGTTTTCCACAATGGGAGAGGCTCATTTACCGTTATTTTTATTTAATTTAGGGTTTGTTTAAAGCTACATATATGAACGAAAAATTTACACCGATTCGCAAAAACAAGACCTTAAAGAAGAACATTCAAACTTGGGGCCTATTTTAAGTAAAGTAAAAGTAATGTTACAGCCTTTATACGTCCCACATCTGAGCACAGTTTCTTCTCTCATTTCTGAAGGGCGGGGACGTGTCTGGCGCACACAAAATACCTAAATGTGTGGTGGCGGACTTCACATGTCTTCGAAATATTAAAAAATATTTTTAGATATGTATGTAGGTTTTCTCCGTCAGGTGACTTACAAAATACAGATTACCTAAAAGTTATTTCCACACAGAAACAGAAACTTGTTTATTCAATATAGATTAAAAATAATACTTATTGAAAATCACTCTTTTGTTTAATTACCACTGGTTCGAAAAAAAACATCATTGTCCTTAATATTTATTCAGTTTAGGCTTTATTCAGTTTTCTTTTGTATTAAAGGTAACATTATGGATCCAATTGGCGCACCACTTAGTATCCGCAGTGTTGCTCGGTAGTATTTTCTTCCTTGTGGGCAACGATGGCAGCGCGCCTATTGTAAATTTCAAGTTCTGCATCAGTGTGCTGGTCTTCTTCATGTATACTTACATCATGATACCTGTCTTGTTGTGTAAGTACTTGGTAATTAATTAGTATTTTTACGTGGTAAAGCCACACTGAACTGCCAATGAATCGAGCCGATCGAAAAGGACTCGGTCGTCGACGATTCGAGACGCTCTGCGCTGGATGCGGTCAAGTGGAAGGAGCTGGCACTGGGGAGCCCCTGCCCAGAGATGGGAACAGTATTCCATGTGAGGCCGAACCTGCGCCTTGTAAAGTTGCAGGCGGTGTGCCGGCATGAAATACTGTCCCGCTCTGCTGAGCAGGAGGCCAATTTAGCCTTCTCTTCCAAGTGACCACGAAACTGCACGTCACTCGATATGTCGACTCCAAACATTCCGATACTGGCTGAGGCAAGAAGGGGAGTGCCAGATGATAAAATAACGGGGCGAGCTGGAACTGTTAGGACCTTGTACTAATTTTCTAAAACTGTGTTATTTAACATATTCATTATTTTGTAAATCTATTCTACCGCCAACAATTTTTACGTGGTAGAGCCATGCTGCAGCTATATTAGTAGTATAGTTGTAGCACGAATGGGTCGGCTCGACCGGGGACGGACCACGCTCTCACAGAATACCAGAGTAAAATAGCAGCTTAACGCTGCTGTGTTTCATATGGTGAGTGTAGAGAACTGGATACTCTTTCTACTGGAAATGAGGCATTCCATCTTAGTCCTCACGGGTGACAACGCATCTGCATTTTGTTTTGTAATGGAGAAAAGATGTAGATGTCTATGGGCCGCAGCAACCACTTACCATCAGGTGGACTGTGTGCTCGTTTGTCACCCTTATCCTATACAAAAAAATCTTAATTGTAATCTTATCATAGTCTGTATTGTATTTGTATATTGTAGTTGTAGTATATTATACTGTTGTTGTTACCGTTACAGACTATCAAAAGTCCACTGTTGAACATAGGCCTCCTCCATAGATTGCCTCATAGGCGGTTATTAGCTGTAATTGCAACGCTTGACTTTATTTTGTAGTTGTTATTAGGAAGATGCTGCTGCCCATCTCCTGGTTTGTTTCCCTCTGTCGCCTCTTACGACACCCACGGGACGCTATGGAGTAGTGGAGTCTCACATCGTACGTTACATGTAAGGGTTTAAACATACAGAGAACACTAAAACCGGTTATGTTCTTTGTGCCTATTATATATTATAGGTAGCTCTTCTTCTTTTTTTTTTGGAAAATTATTAAAAAAATATAATAAAAAACGAGAAATGATAACAAAAATATTATTATGGAAACACTGTCGAAAGATATATTGTGGATAAATAGAAGTAAATAATATAGATATGCACGTTGATAATATTGTTACAAAGGCTAACAAAGCGCTGGGTTTCATATTAAGATTATCGGCAGATTTTAAAACCATAAAAACCTTCAAAATTTTATATTGCGCTTTTGTACGCAGCCACTTTTAATATGCCTCTGAAATTTGGATAATGTACGAGTATATGTTGATAGGATAGAGCGCATACAAAAAAGATTTTTGCGTTTTCTTCAATTTAAATCAAAAAAGTTTATAACCTAGCTATACTCTTCGATGTAAAAAATTTCACATATTACCTTTATATGAGCGTAGAAATGTTGCAGATCTCTCTTTCCTCTTTAAAATTATGAATGGTAATGTTGATTGTCCTGAACTACTAAGTAAAATAGATTTACATACCTCATCATTTGGTTTGCAGAAACCTACACTTTTATCTGTACCATACGTGAAAAGTAAATACAGGAAAAACTCTTTTATTATTCGATCATGCAGATCTTTTAATGCTACAGCACATGTAACGTAGATATTGATTTATTTCATTCCAGCGTTTTCCAACTTAGCCATTCACTTTCTAACAACTTCTTTTCTTTTTGACAATTTAATTTATAGTTAAGTATACTGTTACTTGCCCTATACTCGTATATCTCTTCTCACACACTCTTGTTATATAAAATATTATATAAGTGAAAACTTGTAAATGGCCTTCATTTTTGTTATAATTATATTATGTTTGTAAATTAGCTGTAAGTTTTCCAAGCAAATAAAAATAAAATAAAATAAAATGTTAATAAAACAATTACAAAGGCTAAAGAAGGATTATGTTGCTTTTCTTTAAATCTCGAAGGGTGAAGAGACTTTTATTTTCAGTTATACGTCTCAGAGCCGTCTTTGTCCTAATATAAACGTACACGTTCATTGAACTGGAAGTATTTTATTTGCCTACGATTTAACCTACTTATTATTATTTTTATATACATTGAATCTTTTTAAATATTTCCATGAACATAATTAACGTATTATATTATGTATATCCATTACAACTAAAATTATATAATTGGCAGCAGTAGATTTTTAGAACAGTATCACTGCGACCTATAAGATCTATTGTGATCGCTGCTATGTATATAGTTCACAGCTAAACCCTACGTCCTCAACGGCGTCGTTACGTTTCTACCTTTACGTCGGCGTTTCTTCCTTTAGGGAACAGAACCGGTACATCCTTGAGTTGCTTAGTCCCTGGATGGACATGTGTTTTTGAAGACAACAGTGTCCAGTCAGGGCTCTTACCAGAATGCGCAATTTATTTTTAATTCCTTCCTTCCTAAACCTGGTGCATCAGACCAGAACTGAAGTGATTTATTGTGATAACGAGTTTAAAGGATCAATCGGGCGAGGCTTTTAGAGATTCCACAAAACAGGTCAGGTCAAAATTGTGTAATCTTTGAGCCTTCCCGTGCGAACGTATCGGCAATTTCATTACCTACAGTACCCGCGTGACCCGGAACCCATCTTAAAACGACCCTGTTGTTACCTCCCATGGCGTTTAGACGGTTCACGCAGTCTCCAAGTAGCTTCGAGTTCACCAAGTTTGATCTCAGCGCTAACAGTGCTGCTTGACTATCAGAGTTAATCAGTAGCGTAGCTAGGCATGGGCGAAGTCGGCCGACGCCCACGGCCTCGCGCTTAAATTAGGCCTCGCGCGGCCCCCTAAAAATGTGATGAGATGATAAGAGCCGCTCCAAGCTATGATAGCATCGCTCCAGTTGCCATTAAGCAAGCAAGGTTGGCCTAAGGTTGGCCTTATTACACCAGTCTGTTTAGGCGTAGGTAAGAATCGGCATCACTATGCTACTATACAGCCATATGATCATACTGGGACGCATGCCCCAGTTGTTCCCGATCATGCGACTGCACGTACCTAAAGCAATGTTAGCCTTATGACATACGTTGCTAAGGTGAGAGTTCCACATTAGTTTTTGGTCGATTGTTCCGGCCAAGTACTTAATTTCAGTGTAGAATGGTACTTCTTTACTATTCAGTTTTGGTGTGACTAATTTTTCCAACCGTCTCTTTTTAGTAAAGGGTATTATAACAGTTTTATCACATTAACTGATAAACTGTTATCCCTGCACCAGTTTTTTATGGTTTTCAGAGCTCCTTGTGTGATTAATAATAAAGTACTTTAGTAAAAGCCCCTCGCAATGATCACAAGCTCATCAGCATAACCAAGTGTGTCAATGCGAAGGTCTACCATCTTGTGCAATAATTGGTCAACCAAAATTGGTCCAAAGGAGGGTGTCACCCCTTGTGGACTGCCTCTTATAGTTGCAACCTCAATCGAAGTTTGAAACAGCGCTATTTTTGCCTTTCCGCTTGAGGGCCTCGACTTCTCCCACCTGATGGTTGTGGGGTCAACATTTTAGATGATCCGTAGATTTGCCTCTGCGATAAGCATGCTGATTGTAGTGTATAGGTCTCGTAGCTAGAGCTACGTCCCTAATATATCTATCTATAACCTTTTCCAATGTCTTAAGAAGAAAGGGAGAAAGGCTTATATGTCTAAAGGACTTTGGTAAAGCGTAGTCCTTTCTACCATCCGTAGGTATATAAATAGAACTTTGACAATTGTCCATCGTTCTGGGATATATCCCTATGCAAAACTTGCCCTAAAGATTTTCACCAGATAAGGAAGAAGGATATCGATATCCCTCTGTAGTTGGATTGGAATTATTCCATCCTCCCCACTTGTCTTATATAGTTCAAAGCAGTCAACAGCCCACTGCACCAGGTTTGGCCTTATTATCTTTGCAGCCCTACACCAGTCCTCATTACAAAGGCTTCGTAGAGCTCTGAAAGGGTTCGATGAAAGAGTCTTATGTGACCGTGGGAAATGAGTTGACGCTAGTAGCTCCAGTGTTTCTGTTTCACTATTAGTGAAGTTACTATCTGGCTTTTTAGAAGCCCGATTTGATTAGGTTTAGCTTTCGATAGCATTTTGTGGTAGCCTTGCACTGCGAGGCAGAGACTCAACTTCCTCGCATAGTTTCGTCCACGATGCTCTCTTGGCTTTCCTAATTACGGAGGGGCACACTGAAATGATCGGGAATAGAATATTTCGGATTAAGTTACAATAAAACCTTTTTAGGATTTGAATACTGGCCTCTTAGAATCTTAATAACATTCAAACAATTTAAAAAATGTTTAAAACAAAAACTATGTCGATTTAAAGTTGACACGTTGTTAACAGAAATGGAGCTCACGCGTGAACATTTCCGTGCCATAATTTATCACAATTTTCATCGCGGCTTATCTCAAGATAAATGTTTCAGCGAACTTGTTTCGATTTATGATGTTGAAGCACCGAGTCAAACGACAATATACCGCTGGTATGCGAGTTCCGACGCGATCGTGTGTCGCTCAGCACTGTTTCTTCTGCAGGTCGACCAAGAACAGCGGTCACGCCTGAAAACATCGCAGCTGTGCGAACTATTATATTAGATGACCGTCATGTGACATACGAGCAGATTCGGGCTGTTATCAGTATCGCAATTACTGCAATTCAGTCGATATTACATAATGAGCTGTGTGTAAGAAAGCTAGTTTCCCGCTGGGTTCCCCACAATTTGTCCGAAGAGCAAAAGGCGGCTCGTGTAGATTGGTGCCGGAATACTCTGCAACGCTTCAACGGAGGGAAGTCAAATGCCGTTTATAATATCGTCTCAGGTGACGAATCATAGATTTATTCATACGAACCTGAAAGAAAACATCAAGCAGCAGTCATCAGTGGTTCGCTCCCGCAGCGTGTCAAAGAAAATGGTCGCTACTTTTGTCTCGAAAAAGGGGCATGTTACTAAAATTTCTTTACAGGAACGCAGAACGGTTACCGCTGAGTGGTATATCACTGTTTGTTTGCCAGAAATTATAGCCGAACTCCGAAAAAATAACCCCAAAACGTCGCATCATCTTACATCACGATAATGCGAGTTCCCATACGGCTCGGAAGACAAATGATTTTTGAAGCAGGAAAACGTTGAGCTGATGAGCCATCCTCCGTACAGTCCTGACCTGAGCCCAAAAGATTTCTTTACATTCCCTAGAATGAAAGATTTATTACGCGGTCAACGGTTTGAAGACAGTTATTTAAAAATAACTCAAAAATTACTGGTCTGACCTTGACCAAATTCATATGGGATCACACGAGAACTATCAGCTTTCATATGAAAAAAGAATCATCGAAATCGGTTCACCCAGTCAAAAGTTATGAGGTAACACACATAAAAAAAACATACAGGCGAATTGAGTACTATCTCGTTTTTGGAAGTCGGCGGAAAAGTGCATTAAGTTGAACAGAGAATACTTCGAAAAACAATAAAATACAATTTAGCTATACCGTGCATGTGGTTTTTATTATCCCCGATCAATTCAGTGTGCCCCACGTACTTTATTATATTCGGTTAGGGCTGCCCTATAAATATCCCATTCTTTGCTTTTTTCTGCCGACTTCCAAAAAGGTGACGGTACTCAATTCGACTGTTTTTTTTTATGTGTGTTACATCATAACTTTGTACTGGGTGAACCCATTTCGATGATTCTTTTTTTATATGAAAGCTGATAGTTCTCGTGTGGTGCCATATGAATTTGATCAAGTTCAGACCAATAATTTTTGTGTTATTCTTAAATAACTTATATTGAAGTCGGCTGTACATAATTTTTAATTTTAAATTATTAGTTTTATTGAATAGTTTCCTGGTCCTTTCCCTAAGCTCCTTTAGCTTAGTGTTCCACTTAGGAACTTTTCGTGTTGAAGTCTTGGTTTTGACGGGACAACTACCCTCGAAACCTTCACGGATACCTACGGTTACAGACTCCGTCGCTAACTCCAGACCTTCAATCGTTTTGATGTTTTTAGGAAACGTTTCCAAATTTCTCCTTAGGCTATCTCTGTAAACATTCCAGGAGTTCGCTTTTGGATCCCTAAAAGCAACAGTTTCATAAGTTGGTGATGCTCCAATCACAAACTAAATGTGTTTGTGTTCAGACATCAGACATAACATGCCAGTCAGTTACCCGCCTGGATATGTTATTGGTAACAAAGGTTACATCTAAAACTTCTTTCCTAGCACGCGTTACAATGGTTGGTGTACACCCTAAGTTTAGGCTTACGAGGCGATTGGATATAAGAAAGTTATAAAGTAATTCACCTCTTTCGTTGATGTTAGTGCTTCCCCATGCTGTGTTCGGGCGAGCTCCGCCACTCGTTCTAACTCTATGGCAGGATCTGGGTTCTCTCCGGAAAGATGGCTGAGCAAATGATTACTCTGGCCCCTGTGTATCCCTTGAGATTTATAAACGCTGTGACCAGGTCTTCATTGCAATACTCTGGAACAGGTAAAAGTTCAATATTGTGGCGGGTGGAAGGAAAAGGGGAGATCTCCCGCCGGGCAAGGTGTTCTGCCCGGGGAGCGGCCAACGCTCCGGTTGGTAGTTCAGAGCTATACTATATATGATGCTTTAAATTCCGAACTTTGTAAGTGCGATTTAGGCTTCGATGTGTTTCGCTTGTGGCGCGACGTCAGCGCCGCCACATCACCCCCCTGCTCAGACCGGAGGTCGATATTGCAGTCTAGATGTCGACGAATTTACAAGTACCAGGGAATTGCCTTGTAAGTCTGCGGCGAGTCGAGAAGAAGGCAAATAATCTGCGAGAGTGCCGTGAAGCAGAGGCGAGCAGTAAGGCTCAGAGCCGTGCCGAACACTGTAGCGCAGAGAGTAGCTTGAAGGAACAGGAAGAATTATTATTCCAGTGCTGCGATGAACCTTTGTAAAGCTAGATGGCTTGCAGAATAGCTCGCTAGAGCGAATGAATGGGGTACTTGAGGATGATGAAGAATTGAAGTTGTAGTTTCCGAAGATTATTGGTTGCGTGTTCATATCACGTCAGGGTCACCACTGTGGCGGGTGGAAGGAAAAGGGTAGATCTCCCGCCGGGGAAGGTGTTCTGCCCGGGGAGCGGCCAACGCTCCGATTGGTAGTTCGGAGCTATTCTATATATGCTGCTTTAACTTCGGAACTTTGTAAGCGCGATTTAGGCTTCGATGTGTTTCGCTTGTGGCGCGACGTCAGCGCCGCCACAATATTTTTATTGTAGATTATACAAGCTCTGAGTCTACTACCTGTGTCCTCAGCAAAGCAAACCTCCACCACGGCCTAAGCAGCTGATGCATGGTGAAGATTTGCCTGGAGGACCCCCGTTTTATCCTTAGGGTTAGCCATTTATCGGCGTGGGTGGCCAGGAGTCGTTTTCGCCTGCTGAGGACGAAGACGTCCTTTACTGGCGCTCTTGACCCTTGCCGTACCTTTCGGTCTATCGCTCCCATCTCCCTTCCCCTTACCCCTGGTCGACACCAGTGGGCCGAGGCGAGATCAGCGCCTTGGGTCTCAGTCACTCTCGCTGATGACGTTCCAGTCTCACCCGCGAGGTGGAAGGCTGAGGAGATTGGATTTGGGGCGGTTTAGGCTCCAGAGCCTCCCCTGACCTTAAAAGTTATCATTTTAAAGCCAAGGACGACTCTGCCGCCTGCCGCCCGGAGTCTCCGCCGACGGGTGGTCCAGAGTAAAAGGTTACTAGGAGCCCATTCTCCTCGTCCCTACGGTGAAGAATTTTCCAGAGCTCGGTATGGAGCCCTTCATTTTGTGCCCTCAACAGCACAGCCGCCTCCTCTAGAGAGTCAGCTTCACTGCGGGGCAGAAAGGTGATGCCCAGCTGAGACTTAGGCATTTCGCTCTCGGGTGTTATCGAGAGCTCTGCTTCCGGCCAGGGTTTCAGTTTTCCGTCTTCACCCACAACCCAGTCCTGACTTGCCTTATTCGGGCACGTTACCAGAATCCAGCCTGGCTTGAGGGTGAAACCCTAAAATTTCGGTCCCATTCCCGGCTGCGCTCCACAGACAGCTTAGCGACAGCCTGCGTTAGTACTCGATGGACCAGCCTCATCTCCTCCACGCTCATAGGATTCGAATTGCGAATTCCTACAGATGCGGAGCCAGCTACGGCACTAGAGCTGAGCTTCTTCTCCCCCGTTGCCAGCTTCACAGATTTCCTGGACTGGTCTTTGGGGGACTCCTCCTTTGACCGTATTTACCCTTACATAAACAGATCCATACAATGACTGACTGGTGAAGCGCTGTATATTGTTCAGTATTTTTAATGGAAGTCACGAGACCGTTGTCCGGTAATCAGCTGTGTACTTAGTGTAAAATGTTTAACCTCCTCTTACAGCTAATAAGTAGGACAATCAGCTATAGGTAATATTTCTTTTATAGAATAAGGGTGACAAACGAGCACACAGTCCACCAATGTATGCGGTGGCCCACAGACATCTAAATCTATATTCGATTAAGTATCAAGATGTAGATGCGTTGTCACCCTTGAGTAATATGATTCAATGCCTAATTATCCGTAAAATGGGCTGGTATGTCGAAATACAGCAGCTATTATTCTGTAAGAGGCTGCCCTTCCCTTCTCCGGTCGAGCCCACCTTATACGTAAAAAAATGTATTCTATGTTAGTAATGTTAACTTATAAATTGTTTATTTTCAGTTCCTATGGAGGTTCGTATGTTACGACGCGAATACTTCAACCGCTGGTACGGTTTGAAAGCGTATTACGCGGCGCTAACATTTTCATCCCTTCCTGTTATGGTAAATAAATTTTTTTACTTACATATTATGTAGATATAATATTGGATACAGTATTTAATACAATCTGAAAATGAAACTAAATAAACTTTGATCAACTACTATATATACTAATCTATAATTCATATGTATTATAAAAAATAGAAAATCTAGATCGGCCACGGCAAGCAGCGTCCCTTAAACCAAAAATTCCTAACAAAAGGTTCCTCGAAACCTAAAGGTTCCATGAAACTATTTTTGCTTTTATAAATAATTTCACAGTTCCACAAATATTATTTTGAAGTATAGTCCAAAATATGTAATGAGATATACCCACTACTGTTATGTAGGTACATAGGTAATCAGCAAGCATTCGGGACTATACCTCAACTCGGCGAAATAATTAGTAATTTTACATTTAAAATATTTCACTTCGATAAGATTTTCATTTTTAAAATAAGTACCTACTTATAATAAAAGTTTTTGTTCTTATTTTAATGTCACTGTTTTTTTATTTGTAATTGTTTGATGTGGGGTTCCATAAAATCAAAGGGATTTGGACCTTAGACTACCGTGCGACAGTGGCTCATATTACATGAATGTAAAATATGTACAGACTGACATTTTATCTTTAAAAGCAAAGTCCTTAAATATTTTATTTTTTATTTTTATGTTTTGTTTGCTTTCAGTTATTCTTCGGTATACTGTTCCTAGGCATTACATATTTGATGTCAGGACAGATACTTGAATGGGACCGATTCATATTGTTTGTAATTTACGGAATTCTGACCGGCATATGCTCCGAGGGACTCGGATTAGCAGTGGGATCCGCATTTGATGCTACCGTAAGACTTTTACTGACTTTACTTAACAGTGACTAATAATATCTTGTGTGGTCGTCAACACCCAACATTTTTAAGTTCCCTTATCACCCAAGTTATTGGTACCTACTGTATAAGTATTTCCAAGGATGCATTTTTCATATGATTCATCTGATATAGCTGCAGCATGGCTCTACCACGTAAAAAATTTGTAACTTTCTTTGTTTGAAGATGACTGTAGGTGACCAAGTATTGCAGTAGCCGTTTATTATCAAGTGATACTGTAAGTCCCTTGGTTACTTTCGTTTTATAAAAAAATATACACCACGTGGATGACAACAACAAGTTGTACACATTTGAACATGCGCAAACGAAATGAACATATGTATAGTAAAATATATAATTAAGAAAATACGCACGGGGATAAATAATGTCCGACACTATTCCAAAGATATCCCGGACGTCAGTCTGAGCGAGATTAGAATGGCTCTCCAGCATCTTAAAAACGGCAAGTCCCCGGGCGAGGATGGAATTACAGCGGAGCTTCTGAAAGCGCGTGGAAAACCAGTACTTGGAGTCCTTCAGAAGCTCTTTAATTTCGTCCTCCATGGTGGCATTACACCGGAGGCCTGGAGCAGAAGTGCGGTGGTCTTGTTTTTCAAGAAAGGCGACAACGCTCTCTTGAAGAACTACAGACCAATTTCCCTTCTGAGCCGCGTCTACGTGCTGTTTTCGAGAGTCATTACGAATCGTCGCGCACGCAGACATGACGACTTCCAGCCTCCCGAACAAGCCGGTTTCTGAAAAGGCTTTAGTACCATAGACCACATACATACCCTGCGGCAGATTGTACAGAAGACAGAGGAGTATAATCTGCCACTTTGCCTTGCGTATGTGGACTATGAGAAAGCCTTTGAATCCGTCGAAATTTGGGCGGTGCTGCAGTCCCTTCAGCGGTGCCAAGTTGACTATCGGTATATCGAAGTGCTGAAGTGTTTGTACAGTAGAGCTACGATGGCTACCCGAGTACAGAATCAGAGTACGAAATCTATCCAACTGCGGAGAGGTGTAAAACAGGGTGACGTTATATCCCCGAAACTCCTCATTGCAGCGGGCATTGGAAGACGTTTTCGCTACTGGACTGGAAAGGATACGGTATTAACATCAATGACGAGTACATCACTCACCTTCGATTTGCTGACGATATAGTCCTTATGGCAGAATCGCTGGAGAACCTAAGCACTATGCTCAATGAACTCAATAGTGTCTCCCAACGGATAGGTCTTAAGATGAACATGGACGAAACAAAGATCATGTTTAACGTCCATGTCACATCTATGCCGGTAATTGTTGGGAGCACTAAGCTCGAAGTTGTTGACGAGCATGTTTACCTGGGACAAATAGTCCGACTAGGTAAGTCCAACTTTGACCGAGAGGTCAATCGACGGATTCAACTCGGCTGAGCAGCGTTCGGGAAACTACGACACATCTTCTCGTTAGACATACCTCAAAACCTGAAAACGAAATTGTACAACCAGTGCGTGTTGCCAGTGATGACTTACGAATCTGAGACGTGGTCCTTCACTGCTGGCCGTATGAGGAAGCTCAAGGTCGCTCAGCGAGCTATGGAGAGGGCTATGCTCGGGGTTTGTCTGCGTGATAAACTTACAAATGAGTATATCCGCAGTAGAACCAGAGTAACCGACATAGCCCAACAGATTAGTAAGCTGAAGTGGCAGTATGCCGGCCATATAGCTCGAAGAACCGACAACCGATGGGGAAGAAAGGTTCTCGAGTGGCAGCCTCGTACCGGTAGGCGAAGTGTAGGACAACCCCCCACTAGATGGAGCGACAACCTGGTAGAACATGCAGGAAGTCGATGGATGCAGGTGGCTCAGAACCGTGCTTTGTAGCATTTCTTGGGGGAGGCCTATATTCAGCAGTGGACTTGTAAAAGGCTGTAATGATGATGATGATTTTTCATCGCGAGGGGAATCGCATCGCCTCCTACCACGCTTGCGAATTGCAACATTCAATATTAATAGTAAATATACATTACTAGCAATCAGCCCCGGCTTTACACGGGTGATTCCTGAACCTGGTCAATTGTGAATCTAAACCATCCAAGTATCCATTCAAGTCCACACAAAAAATTCATCAAAATCGCTCGAGCCGAGACTAACTGACAGCAATTGATTTTTATATATGTATAGAGATAAAATACGTTTTACTTGTGCGCCTATAAAATATTGTTTACACAAAATGTAGTATAGTTAAAGTGACAAACAAACTCACAGTCCCCCTGATGCTAAGTTGCTCAGTCCTGCAGTCTATGAACACCAGATTTTTTTTTATTTCATCGTTGGTATATTTATCAAACTTAACAATTAATTTATGAACTATCAATTTATCTATAAATATATAATAGTTGGTGCGTCGGTTAGTCATCGCTACAAACTAATAAATGCTAGGGTCATGGTGTAACTTCTGAACGATCTGACCGATTGAGATCGGCGAACGGTACGTATTGGAGTTCACATTCACATAGTGCCTACTTTATTTTTGTCCAGACGATGGTTCATAGCTATGCTGCGATCCGATATGTGGCCCTGTAATTATTAACAAATTCAATACTTACGGAGCAAAAAGATTTAAAATCATAATAGTTCTACGTGGTAGAGCCCTGCTGCAGTTATATTATGGTTGTAGCACGAATGGGTAGGCTCCGAGGAAGGACCACGCTCTCACAGAATACCAGCGCAAAAAAGCAGCTCAATGCTGCAGTGTTTCGTATGACGATAGTGGAGAACCGGAAAACCTTTTTACTGGAAACGAGGCATTCCATCTTAGTCCTCAGGAGTGACAACGCATCTGTATGTTGATTCTTAAACAAGGATAGATGTAGATGTCTATAGATCACAGCATCCACTTACCATCGCGTGAAATGTGTGTTCGTTGAAAATGTATATGTCGGTATAATGCTCAATAATAAAATCACAAAATCTGGACCCTCTCGGTAGCGCTGTGATCGAGGTATAAATATGTTAATATATATCTACAGTATTATTTTATAGTAATACATAATTAGTATTTAATAAAATATATTCATCCAAGTATTAGTACAACAATAGAACTACGAAACCACGGTTTACATTATAGGTAACAATCGTTTAGATTATCATATCCATTGCTATAATGCGATACACCATGTAAATAATTGTTTTTTTTTTTTTCAGAATGGCTCTATAATTGGCCCAGCTACAGCAGCTCCACTTTTGGTATTGTGTTGCTACGGTATGGGTTTCGGACCGTACATAGAGGCCAGAATGAAAGCCTTAATGTCCCTATCTTACCTACGTTACGGATTAGCTGGATTGTCTATTGCTCTCTACCAAAAGAGACCACTGATGGAATGCAGTCAGGATTTCTGCCTATACGCTGACCCTACACTGTTGCTAAGAGATGTAGGAATGGCCACTGACACTTATTACATGCAAATCGTTGGTTTACTTGTATTCATTTTTATTCACAGGCTGATCGCGTATTTTGTGTTACGTTATCGTCTAACTTCAGAGTTCTCAAACAAATTTATGTCATACATCAGCAAATTTTTAAAATACAGATAATGTCTTTAATAATACGATAAGGTTTCAATTACTTAATTCTAATTTTATTGGTTAAGGGATGAGCAGTATCTAGGCAATGTTAGTTACGTAACTATTACAGTCAACAACACACACTTATATCTAACTATCTTCTACGGTATCATCATTGTATCTTATGTACATTGCTAAAATCAAATATTTAACGAAAAAAATAGTTCATTAGAATACAATTGCATATAAAGATTCTTCAGTGATCGTCCACAATATAACTATCACTACTCTATGTTGTCATAAATCAAGATAAGTGCAGTGAAAATTGAAAAATCATCGATCAATTAAATACACTCACAGAGAACATGAGTCGTTATATGAATTGTTCTTATTATACGAGTAAGTAGTAATAAGACGGTAAAACTTGCGTGTATGTAAAAAGTTTAAATGATTAGTATTAAAAATTTTGTTGGATGAACTTTATACCAACTGTATACCTATATCACATACACACTATCCGCAACATCAATTAATCAAAGGAATTTGGAATCTTATTATATTTTTACATTTTTCTGACACTGTTTGATTAGTTGAACATTCTTCGGTAAACGAAAATGTGAAAATTATAAATAAAATAATAATTCTTTTCATTTTTAACAATATTGAATATACATAACATACTATTTATTGATAAGTATTATATCTGTGATTTTGTTTATTTCCTATCATTAGTGTTATATAGATTTCATTGACAAAAACCAAATAAGACTATTTTTACTGTTCTAGAATTTTAGATCATATTAAATACCTACGTCAAGTATCCATTACTATCTGCAACAAACGATTATACAATTATTATAAAACATGTTAAAAATATTAAATGTTAAAATCAACAAAAAATTCTCTGAGCACTATTTTTATATTTTTTCGTTTCTCATTACCTGCAATATTGATTCTCATATTTCTATCATTTTGTTATATACTTACATATTTGGCCTGTTGGTAATTAGAAAATATTTAAACAATTTGGAGAATTAGCGCTCTGTGTTTCTCGTTTCTCATCGTTCGCTGTAATATTGACTCTCATATTGCTATTATTTTGTAAAAACATATTTAGCCTGTAAGATTAGAAATATTTCAGCAATTTGGAGAACAGGCCGTCGTTACGTGTATGATAACTTGATAACTGTGATAAATTAACGTTAAACGCGGTATGTATCTGATGATTATATTTTCTTATCGACTGAGTTCAAGGATAACTGTTCAATACTTACGCAATGAATATCGCGTCTATTGATCAGATTTTAGATATATTATGTACTTAAGAACATGGTGAAAATAAAAAAATCTATTGAATATTTTTGTTTGTTTTATTCAACTATCCCTAATTTATAACTTTTTTTAAATTAAGATAAGTTAGGTATCCACTTTGACAACCTCTTTACCACATATAAGTAAAGGGCCTGAAGTTCTCATAACTCAACATACGTAACGGCTGCATTACTTACTGCTATTTTACACTGGTATTCTGTGTGAGTATGGTTCTTCACCAGAGGAGTCGACCGATTTGTGATATAGCTACTGGAGCTTTATCACAATTATCTAAATACCTACTGTACTAGTTTTGAGTTCATCGTAACGGTGGATAGTAATCATATAGTTTTAATGAGCTATTCTTTTAAATTATATATTGTGCAATTGGTTTCTGGGAAACGGCTCTAAATATTTGGATGAAATTTTTGTAGGTAGATGTTTTTACAAGAAGGTTTCATTCCCATCATTATTTCTTTTTTTGCTGACGCCGAGCCAACTGTCTACTACACAGACACAGAGGCTGTCTTATCGGTCTAGTTATCGTAAGCACGACTGTTGTTCATGTGGTCCCAGATGAAGATCATTTGGCTTATTATGTAGTCATGTGAAATACCAGAAAACAGAACTGGTGTTGCTGTAGCCTTAGATGACAAAGAGCACTGTCTAAATTAAAAAAAAACTATTTACGTTTGCACTTTTGAGTGTGTGGTATTATGGTAGAAGTATAAAACATGGGGCACTCAACTATCACACACTACGAACGAAGAATCAAATCTTTTGGTACGAATATGTATTATTATGTAGACAACATGGATGTGGAGACACACTGAGAATTCTTTAATCCCCCTACGAATTAAGTCCTGTATCGAATACAAAAATGAAGGTACTACAAAAATTCATTTGGCTGACGACTGCACATGTGCTCGAGACTGACAAAATTAGTTTTAATCAAATCGAAGCCACTTTTAAGCCACGCCACTCTTCTGAATCCGAAGTTGCCATTATAACATTATGAAATTCAAGCTCATAAATGGCAGCAGTACTATACAGACAACTGGAATGCACTTGGTGTAATTCCAAAACTTCTTTGCAGCTGCTTAAGCCTTGGATTCAATGACGCAATCAAAGTTGTGGTTTTAGGAAATCTCAACTCCTCTAACAAAAGATATAATATGATGTATTAAAAACATTTTTTATCATTCTGTAAAGCATAGTTTATAGATTATGAAAACTTAAAGCTCCATATAACCCAACCTAGTTAATTAACTAATTGAACTAGTATTACATTACAGACTAACAATAATAATGGAACATTTTTGTTACTGAATTTAAAAGAACTCAAAACTATTTTCCAGCCTATTGCCACTTCAGTTTATACTTCAGATGATAACAAACGACAACTGATGGGGAAGAAAAGTTAATGACTTGACTAACAGAATGAGATAGAATTACAACCTGAGGACATGGAGAGTAAATATAGCTGACTGTTTCATAACAAACTGTGCAGGCATCGGCTATATAAATTTAAAAAGTATCTTAATATTTTAGATTTCACTAATCAGTGATGACCCTGAATTTATTGAATGATCTATTATGTAGTGAAAATTATATACAAGTATGCTTAAACATAAAATAAGGTATAATGCTTAAAAAGGAGAAAGCATTGAGCCACAATAATTTTATTGCTGTTGACATAATATCAATAATATTACAATATCAAATAGTTGTTAAAAAATAATAACATGGTTAAATAACTCAAAAGCATAGATGTAATCTATATACTATGATAACAACATGCATTCTCATTAGCAAAAATAATTCTTATTAAGACTACAAACAAAAACTGTGCTGTATTCTCTACATTTACATGTTCTTATAAATTATCTTTCACCTACATTTATTCCTTCTTATAAATTACACAGTCAATCCTTGCAGACATCCAAAGCATCCTGCTTTTCTTCTACTAACTCCTTTCCTGTATTATCTAACATTTGTCGGGCAAAATCTGAGATAGTAAGGCCCTCAACAATCTTCCATTTTCCATTATTGATGGTTACAGGGAAAGAGAAGACAATATCGCGAGGGGTGCCATATGAACCATCAGACACAACACCCATGCTTACCCAGCGGTCTCCAGTGCCCAAGAACCAATCCCGCATGTGGTCAGATGCTGCCTTAGCAGCAGACAAAGCTGAAGACATTTTTCTGGCAGCTATAACAGCAGCACCACGCTTTTGTACAGTGGTGACAAATGTGGTTTTCAGATATTCATCATCATTGATAGCAGCAGGGACTGGTTTCTCAACCCCGTTAATCTTAGCAATGGCATTAGAAGCATCGGGGAACTGTGTGGATGAGTGATTGCCCCAAATAGTTACATTTTTAACATCCTGCACAGGGATTCCCAATTTTGCTGCTAACTGAGACTGAGCGCGGTTCTGATCAAGTCGTGTCATAGCAGTAAAGTTTTCCTTTGGAATAGATGGAGCATATTTAGAACAAATCAGAGCATTGGTGTTTGCAGGGTTACCTACAACAAGTACTTTTACATCTTTTTTAGCCACTTTATCCAATGCCTGACCTTGTTCTTTGAAAATGCGTACATTAGCCGAAAGTAAGTCTTTCCTTTCCATTCCCTCTCTTCTGGGCATAGCTCCAACCAAAAAGGCAGCAGCAACATCTTTGAAAGCCTCTTCAGGGTTAGCAGTGGGGAGAACACCAGTGAGAAGTGGTAGTGCACAATCGGCAAGTTCCATTACAACACCTTCTAGAACTCCCATCATTGGAGCTATGTCAAGCAGGTGTAAGTATACTGGCTGGTCAGGACCAAATACAGCACCGGAAGCAATTTGATACAAAAGAGAATACGCAATTTGTCCAGCAGCCCCGGTCACTACTACTTTAATTGGTGCAGCCTGAGAAGCAGATAAATAATACTTTGGTTTAACATTTCAAAAAATTAAAATATTTAACTAGATAAAAATAAATTTTTTCAATAAATCATTAATAATATTAATTAGAAATACTTTTAAGAAACTTTCATAAATAATTAAGTTATTTATCAATAATTAAAATCTCTTAAGTTTCAATAAAATAACAGAATAATTATTTCAAATGTTTAATAAAAATATTTTCTAAAATAGATATGAAAATTCAATTTATATCCAATTAAAAAGTATCTTCCTCATCATCATCATTACAGCCTATCAAAGTCCACTGCTGAACATAGGCCTCCCCCATAGATTGCCTCATGTAGTTTCCTGTAGTTTTCTGCCACCACTACATAGTGAGTAAAATAGACAGAAATTATCTTGCTCTTCTATTTGTTACAAAATGTTCATACTGCAAGCATAATTACTTATCTGATTTAACCTTAGCCTATGGCACAAATAAATAATTACACACCATGATTATAGGTCCAATAATCAAGATTTTCAGTAGGTATATACAGGTTTTCTGTAGCAAAATGCGCTTCCGTTATAATTATAAGTATTAACTAAATAGAAATATATGCTAACATATCATTATTATCATGATCCCCTTTGAATTTTATATTGAAGGGAATGCAACTGGAGAATAAATTAATTGTCTCCACGTTTTATAAAGGCTATAAATTTTTCAAAAACTTCTATTCCAATCAAAATCTACGAGGTTACACAAACCAGCCGGCAAAATATTTAAAGGTCAAAGCAATGTCATCCGCTGGAGAAAATATCCTGCAACTTACCATTTTATATTAGCGCAATATTATAGATCAGCAGAAGGTACTTTTAAGGAATATACAAGGGAACGAATAATAGTTTCACTATCACGGTCCTGCTTTTGACCTTTGAATTTTGAACTCTTGATCTTGATTCACTGACTGATATCCAAATCGAACCGGCGAATCGAACACGTAGTCACGTAGAATTTATAAGTTATATAAACCTATATACTTAAAACTATATACTTTAACAAAGAGAATATAATCACTTTATCTATGTAAGCAAAGTATTTATATTGTTACTTTTATGCATAGAACACTATTACTTCTCGATTCAACGCATATAAAATTATTAGATGATTATAGGTGTAAAATTATTATTACAATTACATGTCATGTCATAGATAAGATAAATAAATATGTAGCAAACTATTACTTGTCAATCTGTAATGTCAATTTGATTCTTAAATGTCAAATCTAAAGAGAATATAATCACTGGCTGGTAGTTCTTCAAAAAGTGCAAAAAATAGTGTGTCGAACTTTAACTTATAGAATTGTTTGGCCATGTATATTCTAATTAATTTTCTTAATTAGTATACAAAAAATTAGGAAGAAACACACATATTGCTATAAAAATTTACATATATGTCCAATATTTTCCTTACCAGTGCTGAGTTTCAACAGTAATGTTTAAAAAAATATTTCATAACAAAAAACTTGTCTAGAGAACACTGATTTTACGAGTATGTTAGTCCTTATAGTCAAGTTAAATAAGGTCTGAAATCAAAATTTTATCACTCAACTTTGCATTTTTGATGTAATGTAGTATTAAGGATACAAAACCAATGGGTAAAAGTTTTCGTGTCCGGAACCCCCGGCAAGAATTAAAAAAAATTGTCAAAAGTGTTTTTTCGCAATTACTCGAAAACGATAAAAATTAGACAAAAATGTTCATGTGTGTGTAGAACTTAAAATTTTACATAAAAAATGTTAAATGATTTTTTTCTCCGGTCAAATTTAGCCGAGTTAGAGAGGTTTTAAGTCTAAAGGATGAACGTAAATTTCAAAAAATCGTAGGAATTAGAAAAATAAGCGATTTCTAAAGCTTAGTTGTTAAATATAAAAATTAAATTTTTAGAGATACACATTTTTTAATGTTAAAAAATATAACAAATTGAAATTTCAATGCTTAAAAATTAATGAATTATTTATTTTTTGCCATATTTAGATTATTCGTAAAACTTCCTAAATTTACGATTGAAAAAAAAATTCCTAGTATGTTTCGGCAGGTGTGAATTTATACAGGTATAAAATCTTTTTTAAATCCTACGCCGTTGTATTAAGTCCCGAGTTAAAAAGAGAGGACTATTGCATACTATACGAGGTCCGAGCAAGAGTGAGAAGGCATCATCGGAAACCAGGACGTAATTTGTTTTAATTTTTTTAACATTGTTATTTCTTAAAGATATGTTAAGATTTTTAAGTGTCCCGACGAGAGTGAATATATTATATCTATTCTAAATTTCATGCTTCGTAATAAATAACTTGACATGTTGGGATTGATTTTAAAATTTAACATTTTTTTTTTTACAAACATTTGGCTTACAAATAATCAAAAAATCATCCCGACATGTCAAGTTAGTTTTTTGAATTTTGCAATTTGGAATCGACCCAGATATGCAGTTGATACAATTCTTCAGTTTTCTTGAATTGAATATGTTCAATATCCTGATTTAATTAAAAAATTTACGGGGTGTTATAGTTAAATTTTCCTCGTATTATTTAAAAATAATCGATTTTCTTAGTTATTAATTTTATTTTTTAACTTATTCAAAGATTCATCATAATTGTACATACATATATAAGTGTACATACTTTTTCAATAAGTTCCTGTGATGTGGTGTCTGAAGTTGACATAATAGGCAGCATCATAAGTAATGTCTTTTTCAATCCCCATTCTTCACGGTCCAAAGTATTGCCCAACCATATTTGAATCTGATAATACACACAACAACAAACTTAAATAAACAAACTTCTGTTTGTTTGCAATGTTTGAAAGAAATTTGGATGCAGATGCAAATCTTTTGATAGTTAGAACAGCTATTGAATTGAAAGCAAAATCTGCAAATCAACCTATACTAATTTTATTAATTTCTCTTTCTTCAGATTCTGAAATCATCCATTTTATCAGAAAAAGTCCTGAAAGAAATGCAAATATTCTGTACGAGGGTGACATTGAAAGTTCTTAGAAAATCAAAAACTGAACAAACTAACCAGTTATTAGTTTTATTATATCTTTTCAAAATAGTGTCCATTTACATCAATACACCGTTGCATCCGATGGGACCACTAAGAAAAGCACTTTGCCCATTCATTCTTAAAGGTCTCTTCGACGGCATTTTGAAACGCAGCCACTCCTTCCTCGGCGTCTATAAAACGTTTTCCTCGAAGTTTTCTTTTATTTTCGGATATAAATAAAAATCGTAAGGGCGGGTGGCTCAGTAATTTCATGTCTGACGTCGCCAAGTAGTCGATTGTTTGCTTGGCGGCGTGCGACGAGGCGTTGTCGTGGTGAAGGAGGATCCTACTGCGAGGTCGTTCCTTCCAAACTTTTTCCAAGACAAGTGGCAAACAATTGTTAGTGTACCACTCTGCAGTAACTGTTTTTCGATCCTCTAAAATAATTGTTGCGTAATGACCTGTCCTTCCGAAGAACGAGGCCACTATCTTTTTACCCATGCTTCGAGCTCCCTTCACTTTAGTTGGCAACTCCTCGGAAGGAAACACCCAGACAGCAGACTGTCTCTTAGTGTCAGGATCGTAACAATAATTAGAGCTTTCGTCACCCGTAAGCATGTCGAACACAGCATTTGAAACACCGCTTTGTGTGCGGACCGCTGCGGATGTTCAAACACATGTACGCGCTCGTATTGCTCTCGCCCTACGCGCGTATTACGATACGCTTACGATACGACACCGTGTGCGAAGGGGCTTAATACAACGACGTAGGATTTAAAAAAGATTTTATACCTGTATAAATCCACACCAGCTGAAATATACTAGAAAAAAAAAATTATCGTAAATTTAGGAAATTTTACGAGTAATCTAAATATGGCAAAAAATAAATAATTCATTAATTGTGAAGCATTGAATCAATTTGAAAATTTCAATTTGTTATATTTTTTTTTTAAAAAAATTTGTATCTCTAAAAATTTTATTTTTAAATTAAAAAACTAACCTTTAGATTAGATTTTTAAGCAATTTTAAAAAAATCGCTTATTTTTCTACTCCCTACAATTTTTTAAAATTTACGTTCATCCCTTAAACTTAAAACCTCCCTAACTTAGCTAAATTTGACAGGAGAAAAAGAACCATGTAACATTTTTTATGTAAAATTTTAAGCTCTACACATTGTTACATGAACATTTTTGTCTAATTTTTACCGTTTCCGAGTAATTGCGAAAAACACTTGACATTTTTTTGAACCTTGAACCTTGGGGGTTCCGGACACGATAACTTTTACACATTGGTTTTGTATCATTAATACCACATTATATCAAAAATGCAAAGTTGAGTGTCAAAATTTTGATTTCAGACCTTATTTGACTGGACTACTTAATAGCATGCGTACGTATGCTATTAAGGACTAACATAAAATCATACGTAGTACTATTATTTATTCTGTGTTAATAGTCAGTAAACCGTTTGATATTTTAATACTCGTCACTATCTATACATTATATTTACTGTCAAAAAACATTTTAAAACTTTGTAACAGTAAAATGTAATTACCGTAACAGAAACTATATTTTATTTTTTTACCCGGTCAATATCGTTTTAAAATGTCATTTCACTATTGAGAAAGGGGCAACATGTTTATTTGATCGCCAAAGATAGGGTTGCCATCTGTCCGGCTTTAGCCGGACATGTTTGGCTTTTTCGGGTTGTGTCCGGCCAAATTTTTATGTGTCCGGCCTGTCCGGCTTTTGCTAGTGCTAGGCAATGACGAATTTATCTATCCATATATTGTTACGTTTAGAAATAGAAGTTGCTTTACCTGTCTGAGTATCCATGATAAGCATTTTGGTTTTTTTAAATACTCATTAACATATGAAAGTAATAAAGAAAATCAGAGCGATATGATAAATAGAAGAAACTTAAAACAGAAATTAAGTAAAAAATATATTGTGATATGAACTCCTAGCAGTATAATACTCAGAAAAAAAAGAATGATCAGCCGTCAACTAGTAAAATGAACAACGTTTATGATGATAACAAAATAGTAGAAGTGAAATTTTACAAAGTCTTAATAAGAAATTCATTTCATTCATTCAAATTCAGTTTTTATGGAAACGCCAACAAATTCATTTTTAAAAGCTTTGTTAAATGATAATAATGTAAATAATCATAAATTTATTCAAAGATTAATGACAGTTGAAGATAATATTGTCAAAGACTAAGTAAGAAAATTATACTGTCTGAGTACATCCATATAATTATTGTATATTTACTAACATTATTTTGTATTTGATAGTAATGTTTTATTTTTGTTTTTAACAGGTAAGAGAAATGCATGGCTAAAAACGACCAAAATCACCATCAATTCTTACTGGGTTTATTTTAAGAAAGCTATATAAAAACAATGCAAAAATAGATGTTGACAATGTTACAATAGAAATTAGCACACAAACCACTGAGCTATTATGTACTACGTACTAGAGGCGACAATGCATTTAGTTACGTTGTTCCATTCAATGTCGCCGCACTTTACTCAGTCACTCGCTAGTCGCTAGTGATTTAACATGTGCTGTGTTGATTATATAAAAAAAATCTCTTGACAAAATATACATTGCAGAAATAATCAAGAAATGTTAGCAAATACCAAGGAATAACGTTTCCTCAGTGAGTATGATACTTAACTAATAAAAACGTATTTTAGATTAATAATCAAACAAATTATTCCTAAGACGCCATCTTGTGTCATGTAATATAGATTATGAAATTAATTAGTTGAGATGCGACGTTTCTGTAAGTGTAGGACGATTATATTATGCACATTTTTTTTTGTAGAAACAAATAAAAGTACTCATAATAGAATAAATTTCTGACGTTTAAATTTGCTAATTATTCTTTTATTTTATTTTTAGGTTTCCATGTCCAAGCCATGAAAACAGAGAAAAATTGAATAAATTAGTTCATTTTTAGCTCTCGCGTGCCCAGTATTTATGAACGACTCTTATTCTAATCTAAATAAATATATTTGTAAATTAAATGATAAATTTTGTTAAACATAAACGTATGTTTTTTTTATATTTTACATAGTTACCTTTTAAAATATTGAAATAAAATATCATTAAAATGTAATTGTGATATAATATTATGTAATATTATATTAAATTAGGTCACATTATAAGCAAAATAATAAACAAATTTATAAAATTGCACTCGATATAATTTACGTAAATAACAATACAATTACATACCGATTATTCAACCTACGTTTAATCTATGATAAAAACCAAACGCGCATGCGCCACACCACTCTACCCTGCCCATTCTCGAAGACAACATAACCCGCGCACTTTTTTTTTTTGAAATAGCTCAAGGAACATACTACCATGAAGTTATAGATAAAGATGACAACATTATGTTGTCTTAGACTTTTTTTAAAAAAAAAAAGTCTAAAGTCTAAGACAACATAATCATGTTGTCTTAGACTTTTTTTCTTTGAAATAGCTCAAGGAACATACTACCATGAAGTTATAGATAAAGATGGACACCATACTCCGAATACCTACTTGAAGCTTAACCTTTGATTACTATCTCGCTCTCTGTGGACAGAGCCTCCCTTTCTAAGTAGGTAACCTTTATTATATTTTTCCCAGGATATCCCTATATGCAGTTGCATTACATTAAGTGGTTTATTGATAAATGTCTACATCTCTCTTTACTATTAAGACCCAGCCTATATAGATTATATATTGTTACGAGCTTCGGGTTCGAGACAATTAAAAACTGCCGACTGAATTACCAAAATTGACACTTTAATTACACAACACTAATTACAATCAAAAATCACACTAATAATAAAACACAGTTCGCCGTTATTTCCCTTCGAAGTATTCTCTTGTATCGCCAATTCAATCTGCCCCGGTCGTGGTCTATACCGGTCTTATATAGGGCCTCAGATAGTTTCCAGAACCTTCTACTGTAGCGACATCTAGAATGTTCGAGTACATATCGGTCCCGAAATTTCTGGAAGGATCTCGACTCTCCTAGTTCTGCTACTCGACACTAGAGGGCGCTAGTGTGACTAGTGTTGCCATGTACAAGACATTAATAGTGGCGCGCAATACTTTCATTTACTCGACACTAGGGGGCGCTAGTGTAACTAGTGTTGCCATGTACAAGACATTAATAGTGGCGCGTAACACTGCCCCCTCCTAAGACATGCTCGTCCCGAGCATTATTGGCCCCATAATAACGCGCCAGTCGATCCACATGGACAATCTTAGGAGTACCTCTGGCACCTTTCTGTATCCGGTAGGTTACATCATTGATCCTTGTCACAATCCGGTACGGTCCGTCCCATTTAGCTTGAAGCTTAGGAGATTTCCCTTTGCTGCGAACTGGATTGTGTAACCACACTAGTGAACCTTCATCAAAGCCCTTGTTGTTCATTTTGCGGTCATACCGTGTTTTCATCTTCTCAGACGTTTGCTGGCCCGTCTGTCTGACGTGCTCATAAATGTCATTCATTTTGTTCCGCAAGTCATTTGCATAATCGGTTATACTGCGTGGGGCATCAGGTGGTATTCCGGTGATCAGGTCTGCAGGCAGCCGCAATTCTCTCCCAAAGTTTGCGAAAGCTGGTGTCACTGATGTACTTTCGTGAACAGCGCTTCGATATGACAACAAAAACGGTTGTATGTGCCTGTCCCAGTCTCGTTGCCGTTTTTCCACAACTTTTGCTAGGTAACTCTCCAATGTCTGATTAAATCTTTCTACCATCCCATCAGATTGTGGGTGGTAAGAAGTTGTTCGTGTTTTCTGAGTACCCATAACTCGGCAAGTTTCCTGGAATATTTGAGACTCAAAATTCCTTCCTTGATCGCTGTGAATCTCTAAAGGTACTCCAAAACGACAGAAGACTTCATGAACTAGTTTATCTGCAACTATTGAAGCTTCTTGATTTGGAATGGCGAAGACTTCTGGCCACTTAGTGAAGTAATCCATCACTACCATGAAATACTTGTTACCACTTTCAGTTTCTGGAAACGGCCCCGCAACGTCAATGGCTATCCTCTCCCATGGTGCACCAACATTGTACAATTTCAATGCGCCTCTACTACGAATTTGAGGTCCCTTCACAGCCGCACAACTTGTACATTTGCGGCACCAGTCCTCGACATCGTCACGACAGTGGACCTAGTAAAACCGTTCTCGGATCTTCAGGAGAGTTCGTTTAACTCCCAGGTGGCCTCCTGAACAACCACTATGGTACAGCTGTAGAATATCCGGCACTTTAGCCTTAGGGACAACCATTTGCAAATGACACCTGTCTCCCCGACCATTTTCCCATTTACGGCACAGGACTCCATCCTGAATCAGCAAGCTGTCCCATTGGGCCCAATAGCTTTTCGTGGTCGAACTCATTGCTGAGACGTCGCTCCACTTGGGCTTCATCTTCACTGGCCTTCATCCATTCCAGAATCGGCTTAATGTCCGAATCTTCCTGCTGTGCATGTTGTAGGCTGTCCTTCCACTCATTGCTGAGCTGGTCTGTCCTGAGCATTCTCACAGATACTACTTCCTTACCCTCTTGCCTAGTACAATCCTTGCAATCTTCAGGGCAAGGTCTTCTTGACAATGCATCTGCATTGCCATGAGATTTCCCGCTGCGATGTTCGATCACAAAGTCGTATTCCTGCAGTAGTTCTATCCATCTCGCAACTTGTCCTTCCGGATTTTTGAACTGCAATAACCATTTCAGTGCAGCATGGTCAGTTCGTAAGTGGAATTTCCGCCCTAGAAGATATTTGCTAAAATGCTGCAAGGACTTTACCACAGCAAGCAATTCCCGTCTTGTGACACAATAGTTCCTTTCCGGCTTTGACAATGACTTGCTGAAGTACGCTATCACAATCTCTTGATCACCATTCCGTTGAGACAACACACCGCCAAGTCCTATATCACTTGCGTCTGTGTCAACTATGAATTCCTTGCCCGCATCAGGGTACCCCAAAATAGGTGTTTTGCACAGGCGGTTCTTGAGCTCCTGGAATGCAATATCGCAACTTTCATCCCAGCAGAATTGTCGCTTCTCCTCGGTTAGCTTGTGCAGAGGTTTGGCTATATCTGCAAAGTTCTTCACAAATCGCCGATAATAAGAGCACAAACCCAAAAATGCTCTAACCTGTGTCTTGTCTTTTGGGACCGGCCACTCCTTGACAGCAGCAATTTTCTCTGGATCCGTGCGGATACCTTCTTCCGACACTACATACCCCAAAAAACTAACTTGCCGTTTGAATAGTGAGCACTTCTTTGGACTCAACTTGAGGTTGGCACTCTGGATCTTCATGAGCACGCGTTCCAGGTTTTGAAGGTGTTCCTCAAACGTACGGCCTACGATGATGATGTCATCCAAATAGACCAGACAAGCATCTCCAATTAGCCCGGTAAGTACAAGCTCCATCAACCTTTCAAACGTTGCTGGAGCATTGCACAATCCAAACGGCATGACTTTGAATTGCCACAGACCCTTTCCTGTGGAGAATGCAGTTTTCTCCTTGTCCTTAGGGTCAATTTCAACCTGCCAGTAGCCACTTTTCAGATCTAGCGTACTAAACCACTTTACGCCTGTAAGCATATCCAGCGTGTCATCAATTCTTGGCAAGGGATAGCTGTCCTTCTTTGTAATGTCGTTCAGGCGGCGATAGTCAACACAAAACCGCATGCTGCCGTCCTTCTTCTTTACCAGCACCACAGGTGAACACCATGGACTAGATGAAGGTTCAATAACACCATCCTTCACCATTCCCTCAATCATGGTTTCCACTTCCTTTTCACGTGCTACAGGCAATCTTCTTGGCCGCTGACGAATAGGCAATTCTTGTCCTGTGTTTATTTTGTGTTGAACTAAGCCAGTCTTTCCTATGTAAGCTTCGTTTGACGAGAAAACATTGGCGTACTTGAGTAACAACTTCTTCGCCTTGACCATTTCATTCGGGGAAAGAACGCTGCGACAGTCTTCCAAAAGTGTGGTCACTATCGTTTGTCCATCCTTGCTGGGGGTCCCGATCGATAGATATTCGCATCGACGCAACCAATCCACTTCCTCACTAGTACCAACCAATGTGCCTTTTTCTATAATCTGTTCCTGATCACAAAGGTTCAACACACGTACTCCTGAGATGTCGGTGGTTCTGACCAAGGTTCGAGCCACTTTCCATGGAAGGTCATTGTCTACCCTTTCCACGAGTACACAACGATGGGCTTGCCCAGGACTCCGAGGAAGACTAACCGGCACAATCGTTTCCGATCTCGGCGGAAGAACAATCTTCTTAAGGCTGTACACATTCCCTGGTAACGCCCCTTCCACGAAAAGTTCTTCTTGTCCACATTTCAAAACACCTTGCTTAACGTCGATCTCACAACAATTCTTCCTCATAAAGTCTAGGCCCAGGATGCGGTCGTCCATTATATCAGCCACGATGACATTATGCCGGTAGATCATGTTGCCTAGCTTCAACTCCATCTCCTTCTCTCCACGGACGGGTATGCGCTGACCGGTGGCTGTCACCAAATTAATGCGTTCTCGGTTGTATGCGGAGTCCCCAAGGAACCGACTTATAAGTTGGGAACTGACAACCGTGCGAGAGGCTCCAGTGTCTATGGTCAGTTTACACGGCGTTCCGTTGACTTCGCCCTTGATGATTAGGCTGTTCCCATCATGGGTTTGTGAGATCGAAATCCTTGGGGCTCTTTTAAAATCAGCCAGCACCCGCCCCGCAGTCCTGGCTTTTACTCGTTTCCCTGCTGCTGCTGGGCGGTGCTATTATCCGCACTACCCTCTCGAGATCGATCACCTTCCCTTTCTACAGTTCGTTTAGGGCAGCTGGATCGAAGATGGCCCCTTTCCCCACAGCCGTAGCACCTAGGGTTATAGCCCTTATTGCAGTCCTGAACTGTAGCTGCTGCAACCTCCCTGACGCGGTGGGAACGATGATCCTGCCGCACGGCTTCCACCTCCAGTGCATGGGTCAGGGCGTCCTTAAGCGTCTGGTGGTGCCCGAGCCTCACAGCAGCTCTGACTTCAAGGTCGCGGATGCCGTCGATGAAAGTCTGCACCAGGTTCCCTACAATGAGCACAGGTACAGACTGGTACGCTTTTCGAACCAGCTTCTCCACCTCAAGGGCCCACTGCTGCAGGTTTTCGTTACTGCGTTGCACGCGATCTTTGAGCTGCGCACGAAAGACGTGTTCCAGGTGAGCATCGCCATATCTCGCCTCCAATGCCTCAAGGAGCTGCTCGTAAGTCACTTCCTTACCGAGCGCTTCCAAAACAGTTAAGGCCTGGTCGCGTAGGCCTAGGGTGAGAGCAGTCATGGCCTGACTTTTATTCCAGCCGTTCGCTTTCATGACAGCCTCGAACTGGATTTTGTAGGCCGACCAGGAAGAACTCCCGTCGAACGGCGGCACTTTGAATCCACGTAGCGAAGGTGTTGTAGCTACCACGGGAGCTGTGATTCCATCCCCAAGTTTGAGGTCGTCCAGCGTTTTCTTCACATCAGCCATCACGTTGTCAACCCGATTGTTCACTTGGTCGATTCGGGTTTCAGCTTCCGACAGGCGGTTGTCATGTTGAGCAACCCTATCCTTCACCTCCTTTATCTCTTTCCCGAAGGTAGCGTGAAGGTCCTTCCTGAGGAGCATCTGTTCTTCCATACCGCGCTGCAGCTGCTCTTCCAGCCGACGGGTCTGTTCCTCCTGTCGGCGGGCCTGTTCCTCCTGTCGGCGAGCCTGATCCTGCAGCATCATCATCAGAGCACCCAAGTCAGGTGCTGCAGATGCAGGAGCTGCTGACGGGCCAGCCTCCGTGGTTAGCAACTGGCCCTCCGATGTTTGCGGCGTTGCATTACCAAATCGTCTCTGGTCCGTCTCCTGTTGGCGTTGACTTCGGGTACGGATACCCTCCGTGTCGTCTTTAGGTAAAATCGGCATATTTGATCCCACTTCTGACACCAATTGTTACGAGCTTCGGGTTCGAGACAATTAAAAACTGCCGACTGAATTACCAAAATTGACACTTTAATTACACAACACTAATTACAATCAAAAATCACACTAATAATAAAACACAGTTCGCCGTTATTTCGCTTCGAAGTATTCTCTTGTATCGCCAATTCAATCTGCCCCGGTCGTGGTCTATACCGGTCTTATATAGGGCCTCAGATAGTTTCCAGAACCTTCTACTGTAGCGACATCTAGAATGTTCGAGTACATATCGGTCCCGAAATTTCTGGAAGGATCTCGACTCTCCTAGTTCTGCTACTCGACACTAGAGGGCGCTAGTGTGACTAGTGTTGCCATGTACAAGACATTAATAGTGGCGCGCAATACTTTCATTTACTCGACACTAGGGGGCGCTAGTGTAACTAGTGTTGCCATGTACAAGACATTAATAGTGGCGCGTAACAATATTTTTGTACAATGTTTTTTTGGGAATTGACTAGTTTTATGAAGAAAGGTTTTCATTTCCATGGGCAGAACCGGTATCTAAAATATGACCACGTATTTTCGTTACAACCCATATAATGCCGAACCTATTTAGAAAATGTGTAAAATAAATATATCAGAGAATATTTTATAACTACCATTTCGATAATGTATTTTCTGGTTATTGTATACAATTCCTAAACGGTACCAATGAAATATAAAATTAAAATTTATTATAACACCCCGAGTGATCAATGAAATGGGCAAAATATACCTGATTTATTGTTCAGACAGACTAAAATAAATCTATTTCTGGACAGTTATTTAATTTTTTTATCACGAAGACTAAAGGAGCGTAGCGGAGCCTCTGCCTTAGCCTTCTGACCTTACCCATCCGAGTCAGACTGCTCTGAGCTGAAAGGCGTATAATACTATATTCCACACAACCTGTTCATTTTAAGAATTATCTACAATTCCTAGGAATACTGTATAATGACGGATTTCATAGATTTCTAGTAGCATATGTACTATAATAAGAATGATAATATATAAAAAAAAACTTAAAAAAAATAAAAACACTTTCCATATCAAAATCATTTATTGATATTTTTCTATTATACATGACTAAATATCATTGCTGTGTGTAGTTTCTGTCTCTTACCACGTAAATCGCTGAGTATATTTTCTGTATAACTCTTTATTTGAGCACGTATACGCATATTAAAAAATGAATTAGCTATTTTCTTAGCTATCATAGTTTCATGCAAATCATTACAATTAATTGAGTGATTTGATGTTTAAACATTCCCTGGAATAGAGAAGTAAAATGTTGTGACACAACATTAATTAATTTGTTTTCAATGTTATTAGCTCTAAGTTGGCCCATCAAATTAGCTTGTTGGAAAACATGGTCACAATCTTTTCCTTAAGTGCAGAATTACTTTCATAAATGCCAGAACTAGTGCTTGGTACAGCCAGAACAGCTATTTGCACCATAGACTCTTCATGTAATGCACTTGTTGTCTGCAAATGATAAATGTTGCTTTATATCATAGATTTAAACTACTACATTTCTAAATACGAAACTTAACCTCTAATTACGTAAAATAGATAATTAAATTATATTAAATTTTTACCTTGCCTGGTGATACTGTTTCTTGATTTATTGTAACAGTAGGAACTGCTATTGGTTTGAAGCGCCTTGTTGTTGTATCATAATCTAATTCTTGAAAATGCAAATTTCAAATCGTTGCACATTCGTAATACTTCATTTTCAATGGTACAATGGATAACCACAAATTTCTCCGAGTACCGTTTTTAGGAAATCTAAAAAAAAGTATTCGTAATTATTGTAAACGTTATTAAAGTATCAGAATAATGAGGATCAAAATTAAATAAAAAGTAAATTGTCTGCCAAAAGAATATATTATGTTACAAATTAATAATTATGAAATTCGTCATTATATAGAATACATAGGAATTGTATATAATTCCTAAATTTCATGCATTTCCGGTAACATAATAAGAAACGTACATATAATTAGTTAAGGTCACACGGAAAGTCTCAGATACATCCTCAATATGGTCACACTACTTCAGTGCGATTTCTTTTAAACAAAAACAATAAAATTGTTCAAAGTCAATTAAATTCAATGTAAAACTATTTGATTTTGACAAAGTTATAATTTACTAATATGTTTAAAACACTGGTAAAACGTTTCAGCAAAAAATTAAGTAAAAATACAAAGAAGTATGTTTTCAAGTATTCAATGCCAGAAGTCACTAATTAAACACTTACGCGTGAAATCGTATATCACCTCCTGGACACCAACAACTGTAGCAACCACGCACTACACAAGTTTACACCATTTCTTGAATTATAACAATAATTAACTTTAATTATCTCAAACGACGATGTGAACTGTTAAGACTTAAGTAAACAACCGCCATATTTGTCTAATTTATGTTGACATATATAAGTTGCCACATTACCGAACCCTTAGGAAATGGGATTGTAATTCACTGATTCGTTAACCCAATAATGCATACGAGACCTTCAATTTTGGAATTTTTAATGTTACTAAATTGTCGTTCAACTATTTATTTATTGGTACATTATTTTACAGAGCTTAACTTCTAATTTGGTTATTGTTGAAACTATTTCTAAGAATTTACCAGGAGATTTAAATAAAAAACATAGCAATACTGTATTCCACACTAAAAAGAGAAGTCACACCACAGAGAGTGAGATAAAGATACGTAGGTATTTGACTCAAGCTGTTGTTCCAAGTGTGGCCTCCATCTTTATCTGTTACTTCATGCATACTACTCTCTGACGAGAGGTCTATGGTTCCCACCACAGACTAATATGAGTTCCCACCAAAGCCATAGACATAGTATCTTATCTATCTACGACCAAAGCCCAAGAGCATAGATAATACATAGAGTGACACTGATTGTATGTAATTACCATAGGTAATTACTTAAGACACTAAGGTCGTGTTCCGATATACACTGCAAACAATGCTCATTGCTCTTACTGGTGAAATAGTCGTTTCGTTATGGACTGCCAAAGTCACTAAGGTCGTGTTCCGATATACACTGCAAACAATGCTCATTGCTCTTACTGGTGAAATAGTCGTTTCGTTATGGACTGCCAAAGTACTGCCACAGTATCCTAGGGAAGTATATGATATCATAAATCGCCGCCATTTTTGTACTGTGAACACTGGCGCTATCAGTACTTTGATCACGTGTTCAAAAAACATAACAGCGCCTTGAGATTTAACAGCTTCCACGAATGATTGTTATTGTTATTGTTATAATAATGATTTTTTTATTTAAACAAACTCTGACATTAACTTTTAAAAGCAACAACATTCAAATAATAATTTTTCTTATTGCACAGAAAACGTGTACATGATAAATATTTTCATTTGAAAACAGTGTCGAAAATGGAAACGACAGTATACTGGACAGCGTTCTGTTTTAAACAGTAACTAGTATAGCAAACTAAAAAAGAACGGTTTTACAGAATACTGAATTGACGTCACACCTTACAGTGGTCATTGTGTATATCGGAACATCCTAACAAAATGACAGACAGTTGTCAGCACAGGGTTGTCAGTTGTGATGTGACATAACAAGTACCTTTAGGAAGAATGGAAGAACTTATTTTATAGATAACCTCAACACGATTTTTCTCTTCAACGTTGTATAATAAGTTTTTAGAAATTAAACTAAAACTTTTACTGTACGTTGATGTAATTGCTAGTAGTCAGTAAAATATTTATAGTAGTAATATTCGAAATGTCTTCGTTATTACGCTCAACGAAGTTCGTCCGGTATTTTACTGGAGCAGCAAGAACTCTTATTTTAAATTCTGCTAAAACTGCAGAGGCAAATTTGCTTGTTAACCCTAAAACATTATGTACAAGCAACAAGTAAGTAGTTTTTATCAAACCGTTGCAATCTTACAACCATTTTCTTCTGCTAGTTTAATCAATGATATTTCTGTGATTTTTTAGTATTCTCATGAGGGACTATGCAACATCCAAAAAGACTGAAAGCCTTGAACCTTTACTACAAAGACTAGATTCAGAAGTGCGAAGATTTGGAAGGATAACAAAAAAAGACATTGATGAAGTTTTTGATGAGATTCGCTCAAAAAATGACATTACTAGCTCACAGTCACTGCTAGTTATCAGATGTTGTGGTAAGCTATTGCAACTTACCTACTTTTAACAAAAATGCCTTATTATTCTTAAAACTTAGAAAATTTAAGTACAAAAACATAAAATGAATAAGTCTGATAGAATGATATAGTTGCAGGATATAATTTACTAACCCTGACTCCTTTTGGTACAGATATTTCCTACTTCTTAGTGTTTTTAGAAAGCTGGAGGCACAATGAGAGAGTAGCCTCTTCTGTTATAACAAATTACAGGTACCCAGCGAGTTGTAGTGATTGAGGCTGGTCTACAAATCCCCTTCTTTAAAATCGATTGTAGGTTTTATACACCCTTCCTAATTTAATTTACACAACCTCTGTGGTTTGCATGCAGTATCTACACTAGATTGACTACGACATTATCAGCACAAGCTTTGCCCAAAACAAAATTTGATCTAATTCTACTTTAAAATTCCTATTATATTTTAACTGATTTGAAAAATTCATATTGATATTATAAATCTTATGTAAGTTAAAATTTTCCCAAATATGAAAATATCTTGTATTAAAATATGATGTATTTTTTCAAATTAAATTATTTATTTATTTTTATTATAGTTAATTAGTCAGCATCATGAAGCAAATACAAAGAGGAGATGTTGTAATTAAATTTCACTATGTAACAACGTGTGACAATTTGTGGGGTGAGGGGATGCAAAGCCCCGCCCACTTTACACTATCTACATCTACCGATAAATAGTTAAACTACTCGAATCTTTCCATATCGATGTTGCAATGTAGCTTAGCTACCTTGACGGTAGATGGCGGCATGTCCACAAAATGTTATAAACTAAAAATTAATATTTTAGCGATTAAAATTTCTTTATGTCTGAATGCAAAACAAATTTCAGCACCTTCGTATGATTATTTTATCATTACTGAGCTCTACGTATCTATATTTTTAGTTCACAGGACACAAAGTGTCGCTATCTAGTGTGGAATATATTTAACTATATTTGAAAGCCGACGCAAAGAGATTTTTCTAGAACTATTTTAATAAATTAGGTGTTAAATTACTTACAAATGAAATGTGATGCCATCCATAGCATCGGAGCGTCTATCTCATGAAGCAAATACATTCAGACAAAGAAATTTTAATCGCCAAAATAATATTTTTATAGTTTTCATAAGAATTTTGGGAACAGGCCGCCATCTATCATCAAGTAAACCTCATAAAAAATAACAAAAAGACAGGGCCGCAATTAGAATTCAATTATTTTACTCAGTAACCCAACATTCAATATTAAAATGAAGGAAATTGTACTTGGCTGATTTTTACGAAATGTTTAAGTTATATTTAAGTGACATTCTATATGCAAAGAATCGCTTAAATACAATTTAAATATGTTTACCATTTTGTGAAAGTCAATCTTCAAAAAATATTTACTTTATCCACAAAATAAAGTCTCTTTGAAACTAAATATTCTATGTTCAATATTAAGTAGGATATTTAATTTGGAACTAAATATCCTACGTATCTCACTAATATTATAAAGGCGAAATTTTGTGTGTTCTTTCCGTCTCCTAGAGGTTATTCCACACTAAGTATGTACTGTGTATGTGTAATTTTTTTCACGCAGATACAGCTGGACTATAATTTATGTGTGGGTTAATATCTCTGAGGGAGAACAAATAATAGACAAATTATTATAATTTATATAATTTTATTTACAAATCAATTAAAATATAAATATTTTATTCCAAATTAGGCATCCAAATGCACTTTTTGAATGCCAATCTAAGAACATTAAATTGTATTTAAGTGATTATTTGCATATAGAATGTCACTTAAATATAACTTAAACATTTCGTAAAAATCAGCCTAAGTACAATTTCCTTCATTTTAATATTCAAAGTTGGATTACTGAATAAAATAATTGAATTGTAATTACGGCACTGTTTTTTTGTTATCTTTATGAGGTTTACTTGATGATAGAAAACAGCCTGTTCACATAATGATTATAAACTATAAAAATAATATTTTGCAATTAAAATTTCTTTATGTCTGAATGCAAAACAAATTTCAGCACCTTTGTATGATTATTTTACCAATACTGAGCTCTACGGACCTTTATATTTTTAGTTCACATGACACAAAGTGTCGCCATCTAGTGTCGAATATATTTAATTATATTTGAAAGCCGACGCAAAGAGATTTTTCTACAATTATTTTAATAAATTAGGTGTACAATTACTTACAAATGAAATGTGATGCCATCCATAGCATCGGAGCGTCTATCTGAGTAGTTTTTACACAATAAAACACAACACTTCATCCTTTTCTTCTTAATACTACGAAAATACACCGATTTGCGATTTTTTTCAACACATAAGCGCACAGGACGAATGCTGACAGTATACTAACTAAAGCCACGCCCACTATGATGACGTCAGGACCTACTTAGAATCAAAATGCACAGTTGCTTATGCCGTCTCCCCTTTGTATTCTTGCTTCTATGCTTCATGGTCAGCATATTTCTTATTAAGAATAAATAAACATTTACAGCCACTACTCTTAGTAGTAGCGCAGTTAATATTGAGCCATGATAGCCCTCGAGATAAATGCTTGAAGTCATATTTCAACATATTCAAAGACCCATAATAATATCCTTACTCTTACCAAATACCAATGAAATTGTTAATTACTCTTAGAAATGAGGGAAGGCTGGTGCTTAGTAGTGGAGCTTAGTAGGTTGTTTCTTTTATAGTATATACCTAGTCAGGTCATAAGTATTGTCACACAGTAAAAACTTTTCTTTTAGAATGCTGGCCACAAAAAAGTTTATTGAATTCGAATTTCGAATTGTGCATGAAAATAAAACTGTATACTTTTTAGAATTTTACTCATTTTTAAATATGGAGTGGACGCTTAAAGAAGACCGTGTTGCAGTTATTGCGTTGCATCGTTGCGGTTACGCGCCAATTCAAATTATCGGGAAATTCTTTTTTCGGATGAAAAAATTTTTACCGTAGAAGAAAGCTACAACAAACAAAATGATAAGGTGTACGCACACAGTAGTGAAGAAGCGAGCAACCGTATTCCGTGTGTCCAACGAGGTCATTTTCCATCCTCACTCATGGTATGGTTGGGAGTTTCTTATTGGGGCTTAACAGAGGTACATTTTTGTGAGAAAGGTGTAAAAACGAATGCAGTTGTGTATCAAAATACAGTCCTGACGAACCTTGTGGAACCTGTTTCTCATACCATGTTCAATAACAGGCACTGGGTATTCCAACAAGATTCGGCGCCAGCTCATAGAGCGAAGAAAGAGCACACAAGATTGGCTGGCGGCGCGTGAAATTGACTTCATCCGGCACGAAGACTGGCTCAAATCTGGACTGGCTCCTCCAGTCCAGATTTGAATCCGTTAGATTACAAGATATGGCAACACTTGGAGGAAAAGGCGTGCTCAAAGCCTCATCCCAATTTGGAGTCACTCAAGACATCCTTGATTAAGGCAGCCGCCGATATTGACATGGACCTCGTTCGATCTGCGATAGACGACTGGCCGCGCAGATTGAAGGCCTGTATTCAAAATCACGGAGGTCATTTTGAATAAACTTTAGTGTCATAAGAATCTATGTTTTGTTAAGTTCATTTTGGTATATAAATGGTTACATAATGAATAAACTTGTTTCAATTATTTTACATTAAATATGTGACAGAATTTATGACCTGACTATCTATTTTTAAATGTACTAATGTTTAATTTGGGTTCCCTGGAAATACTAAAATCTGTTCCACTCCCATTTTCAATAAAATGTAAACAAATTTTAAGTAAGCTTGTTGAAATTATGGTGGTGTACTAAATTTATTTGTTTATTAAGTATAGCCAATAAAGCTTACAATAATGAACAAATATTTAACATATATTAAAGTAATTACATAATAATTGTAACTCCAACACTACCTTTGTAACTTATACTTATGTGTAATTGGACGTAGTTATGCAAAAAGGATCCAACCTGCAATAAGTTAATTTGAATTTATGATATTTGAAGTATCCATACTTCAAATATCATAAACTCAAATTATCGGTATGTTTTCTGTCTGTTTGTAATTTTTCTTCTTATTTGTGTTACGTTAGCTAAAATTGTTACATCACATAATAGTATAGACCACAAACATTATTTTTCAAGTCAAATTTTTTAACACAAACTCGGGTTGGATCCTTTTTGCATAACCACGTCCAATTATTCAACACCATTAAAAGCAGTCTTTTGAACATCTAAATATGATAGCTTAATTTTTAAAAAGGTGGATGTTTCTTTTTTTCTTATGGTTGTATAATAAGATACAATCATATCATGGAACCAATATGATATCAGTTACTTTAGGCATAGTTCAGTATTTTCTTTTTGAATTTGGAAGTTATTGAATATAGCCTTGACTATCAGTTTTGTTCTTCTGCCCAATGTGTTGTGTATGGGCAAATTTTCCAACTAATGCATGTAGTCCTATTTCTTTTTTCTGCTTTTTTTTAAATGTAGTCCTATTTCAAGTCATGGTCATAAAACAGCTGTTATGATGTCATGATGTGAATTTTTGTGCATAATATTATGTCAAGTTGACTTTAGTGTGTATGTATTTGTGTTTGTCATTAACATGGGTAATATAGTGATGTTAAAAATTTAAAAAAAAAACATAATAAGTACAACTGACTAGTTTCCACGGTCAAATTATGTTTCTTAATAGTTATTGTATGATATATTATTAAATAACGAGATAAACTGAATCAAATTGATTCTTAAAACACTGTACTTGGGATAAATAACTTCAATAATGTCAAATACTAGCAATATTATGATCATTGAATTAGTATATTAGAGTTAGTCATCTAATAAAATTAATAAAAATGTTATGTACATACAATAAATAAATAAAAAATAAATCATTATTTATTTGTCTTGTTATTTACTCTATACAGACTACCACATAAATTTATTAATTCATAGAAGAACATAATTCATTATTACGAAAATAAGTATCTTTTGTATTTCAGGAGAACTAGTGCCAGAAGAACTTCCAGAAGAAAGAACACTTCTGGTACAGAAAATATGGAATGTGTTAACAGAAAGAGGAATCCCAATGGACATATCCCATTATAATGCTTTACTTAGAGTATATTTAGAAAATGAGCACCCTTTTTCACCAGCTAAATTCCTTGAAGAACTGGAAACAAAAGGGCTACAACCTAACAGGTAATTTTAAATTACATTTCATTATTCTTTTAATATTAAATCGCTTGCAGTTCACTTGCTAATTAGACCATTGCAGACTATCAACACATGCATTCAACGAGGAGACCTCAGGTGCATTTTACACTAAGGACTTAAAATAGCTACTAATGTCCTATAAATGTTATTTATAAGAGTGAGTGTACTGCTGGTTGGCAGTAAAAATTGCTAAAAATTCTGATAGACTCGGACAGGAAGTTCTTCGACTTACCTTAGGTGACCACGTTTCACATGGGAATCATAGTCTTCAATATAAAGGAAGCTCCCAGACTTATGATAATTATATTGCCTAAACATTATCGAGTGATGTGTGTTTTTATTTTTTTTAAGGGTAACTTACCAGAGACTTATGTGGCGTTACTGTCAGGAAGGAGATGTAGAGGGCGCCACTAAAGTTTTGGAAAGAATGCGCGAGTTGAATCTTCCGGTGTCAGAACCTGTATTAAATGCTTTAGTGATGGGTCATGCATTCCATGGTGACACTGAAGGTGCTAAAGCAGTTTTAGAAACTATGGCAGCAGCTGGTCTTCAACCGACAAATAGAACTTACACATTACTGGCCTGTGGTTATGCAAGGAAGGGAGATGTTGAAAGTGTAGAAAATGTTATCAAAACTGCCATTGAAAAAGATGTATATCTAAGTGACAAGGTAAACTAATATGTTTTGTGCTAAAGTATTCACAATTGTTAAAACAAATTTTATCTAAAACTTTTCTCCATTTAAATTAGAAGATTATTTGCGCAATTTATCCTTTAAAAGTGTGCTTATAGTAACTTGAGAATAAATGTTATCTAACTACCCCACTACGGCAAAGCCAAAAGGAAGGTTATGATTTTAGCAGTTTATGTATGTATGATTGTATAATATTCTATGTATGTATGAAGGTATGTTCATCAGTATTTCATAATTCATGTCATACACTTGAAAGTATTGTTAAAAGTGCAGTTCTCTTCTGCAGGTTGTAGCCATACTAAATCCAATGGGAATGGGAATATAGTGTTACAAAAAAATCAAATGAAAATAATATTATTGTGTTTGGTATCAATTAATTAATATCCTGACAAGTTCATTCTGAATATATATAGGATTCCGATAATTACATATATACATAAACCATATTTTTTTAAAGTCAAATTAATATTGCTAGAACACTTAGGCATGACATTAGTAGTACATTAACATCTTATTAAATTCAATCTTCTAAGCTATAAAAATTAATGTTTGTTTGTTCATATTATACTACTGCCATACAATTCACAGATTGCAGTAAAACTTTGTCAGCATATTTTTTTTTATAGGAGATGAGCATACGGCTCACCTGATGGTAAGTGACTACCACCGCCCATGAACTACAGCAACAGCAAGGGAATTGCAGTAATAATAATAATAATATTGCTTGCACTTACGTGATGGTTATAGTCATGGTACTTTCATTAGGTGGCACACATATCGTACTGACAAATTTATTTGAAAGTTTTCCAAATTTAAAACAATATTTCCACAATTATTTCTTCTGCGGCAGCAACGTGCCGAGTAACAGCTAGTTTACTATACAGGGTTATTTTGCAATAACCGGCCAAATTTGTAGAGAAGGTTCAGACTAAGTAATATAGGCAAATGCTGAAGAGAAGAGGAACTCAAAAAATCTCAAATATTCTGTTATAATATTCTTTTAAATTCAAAATGCGTGGTAATGTATTATTTTAAATACGTGGTAGAGCCATGCTGCAGCTATATTAATTGTATAGTTGTAGCACGAATGGGTCAGCTCGACCGTGGAAGGACCACGCTCTCACGCTCACGAACCGGAGACCCTTTTTACTGGAAACGAGTCATTCCATCTTAGTCCTCACGGGTGACAACGCATCTGCATTTTGATTCTTAATCGAAGATAGATGTAGATGTCTATGGGCCCTAGCAACCACTTACCATCAGGTGGACTGTGTGCTCGTTTGTCACCTTTATCCTATAAAAAAAAATATTTTACAGCGCACGCACACATTCGTAAGGGTCGATCGGTAGACAAAAACGTTGTTGCTCATAAATCACATTCAATTTGGGATAATTTCAAATAAAAGTAGAAGCCTTGTTTACTCGTATTTTGAGAAACTGCAATAACGGTATATCATTATTTATATATTTGAACATTAGTTTAAAATTTGGCTACTTATTGAAAAATAACCCTGTATATTTATTAATATATTAATATGTGAAAATAATATTTTGTACCCCTTTCTAAGCATATTACGCACACAGAGGAGAGGTGTGAGGTTTGGCATAGTTGAAGTTTATATATTAAACGAGTGTTATAAATGCAGTAATTTATTTAAATAAAATAAAACATTACCTAATTTTTTTTTTGTTATTATAAACCAGTGCTTGACCACAATCCCATCTGGTAGAAAGTGGTGATGCCGCCGTATATGGTAAATCGCACTCTCTTATCATAACAAAAGCCTATTCACTCTTGCCTTGAAGACGCCCAGATTGTATTCGGACGGAAAGATAGACGCCGGCAAAGTATACCACTCCTTTGCTGTACGCATTACAAAAGCCGTAGCAAAACTTTTGTTTAATTTTAAAGTTTTAAAATAAAATTAAAGTTAGTGTTGTTTAATTTTACACAAACCTTAATGTTATGTTACATTCCAGGATATTCTTGATATTATCGAACATCTTGCTATTGGTGGCCATGATGACAAAATAGAACAACTGTTTCCTCATCTTCAAAAAAGTCATGGATACAATCAAGAAGTATGCAATCTCATCTTAAGATTACTAAACAAAGGGCATGAACAGACTGCCAAAAAAATGATGATGACAATGCCAAAGGTATCTAACGCTGAAGACACACCTTTCAAAGGAGCATTCTTTGTGAAACAATTGCTCAAATTAAACAAATCGCCAGAAGATATTGTAAACTCGTGCAGAAAACTCCAAGAAGAAGGACTAATACCAAAAGCATTATACATTGCAACTGAAAATGCTTTGCAGTTAAAGAAAACTCAATTAGCCTATAAACTTTTCAAGGAAATGCAGAAAGATGGTTTAGAGATACGACAGCATTACTATTGGCCGCTGCTAGTACAGAAAGGGAAAGAAGGTGATGAAGAAGGTCTTTTGCAACTTCTTCGAGAAATGTGCAGTGAAGGTATTTCCCCATCAGGCGAAACTCTTAGAGATTATGTGATACCTTACATAATTAGTAAAGATACACCCGAAAATACTATACTTAAGTTGCAACTGTCAAATGTCCCTGCCATTCACAGCGCGAGAAATGTTATGATTGAACTTTTGGAATCGGGTAACATTAAAAAGGCGGCTGACATTGCTTTACAGTACCGCCCTAGAGGACAATACACATTGGTTTCCCGACCTCTGGTTAATGCATTAAACAAAACAAAAGACATTGACTCATTTGTTACAATTCTTCATGTTATTAGTAATCAACCACAAGCTAATACTGAAGAAGATTCTGTAAATGATGAGACACAAAATGATGATATTATTAGCAAGGAAGTAGGTCGTATTGTAAAGATAGCAGTAAAGAATTTAATGCAACCAGCCTTGTGTGAGAAACTTTTAATGGCTGTTCGTTCTAAAGGACTTTCCATTAGTACCACTTCAGCTGAAGAAATAGAACAATTCCTTGGACAAAATATGACGACAAATTTGTCGGAGCTTCTATCTGAGCTAACTTCGTCTGATATGGAAATTGCGCCAATTGAAAGTCCGCGTCACAATAGACCAAGATCTGCTGCCGAGTTAGAACATTTATTAAGCCAGATTAAGAGTAAAGGTGGTAACAATGTGCATCGTATCCAAAAACAACTTTTAGTAGCTTATATCAAAGAGAATGAAGTCGCAAAATTAACAAATTATCTGGAAGAATTAAAGAACAGTGATTTTGAGCTTACAGCTGCAACTCTTGCTCAGTTATGCGAGTTCTATGCACAGAATAATGAGATTGACAAAGCACTTGAGATGAAAGCACAGATTGCTGCAAAAGACCCGGAATTCAAACTTACTAAGTTTAAATTTGTGCAATTAGCTTATGGTCTAGTTCGAGCTAATAGATATGAAGAGGCTATTAAGTTGCTAAAAGAAAATAAACAGGATGGTGAGAATGAAAATTCTGGTTTCTTGATCAACTCTAAATGTTGGCAAATGTTAAATACTTTGGCTGAACAGAAGGATGATACTAAAGTACGTATGAACATAAATTATTATATAACATTGACCACTTGGTCGAAGGATGTGGTCACTGAGTGACTGCTAATAATACTTCAGGAAGCTGAGTAGAGTTAGAGCGCAAGCCCCTGTCTTAGCACAGACAGCTGAAGCGCTTTTTAAGTCTACTGCTGGAAATACGCATTTCATGAAATATTTTCTCATATTCGCCACGCTAGGCGATCACGTTACTTTCGACCATCAGACTGCGTAATTAAGGTTTCAATAATGTAGATCATCATCCTCATCATTGTTACAGCCTATAAAAAAACACTGCTGAACATAGACTCTCTCATAGATTGCCTCATCATATTTGCCATAGCTTCCACGATTGGCAGGCTGGTTAGCCACCGGGTTTTTATATATTTTGAAGTTGTCATCAGGATGATTTCAAAATACATATTTTTCATTCCTTTTTGTCGACACTTACAACTCCCATGGAAAGACATTGGTTAGTGTATTTATCTTACACATGCATTACACAGAATCACAACAAGGTTCCAATAATGTAGATAATATTCGAAAATTATCGCCGCCGACATCGACCAGAACGTCATCATCATCATCACTATTATCATAATGATATTGTAAACTAACCTAATGATGACAATAGTGTTTCCTTGACAATTTTTGACAATTTTGTCTACTAATTAATTCTCAAAGGTACATGTGGATAACTGGATACTGGACTTCATATAAAGCTGAACGTTCGTTTTTCCGCGCCGCACGCGCCGTACGCGCCGAATTTTAGAATTCGTTGTATGAAATTGTATGAAACCTCGCACATTACACCCACACCGTACGCGCCGAATTTTATAAAATGCGGTAGGTATACGATATCGAATTACGAATGCTGATGACGTCATATAACGCGGCGCGTGCTGATACTCAGTGTTGTCTAATGTTGCCACTTCGACTTACATGAGAATTTTTGTATTTTTATAACTTTTACTTGATTCGTAATTATTTATACATAATTTGAATTTTTTTGCATCGATTATCAATATGTATACTTAGCGATAAATTATTTAAATACTGAACTCAAAAAAAATAGTTAAATCTAATTAAAAAACCCAATTATACTTGATTACTTAATTATCAATAAAAATACTTACCTCAAACATACAACAAGTCTTTCCTCTGGTTCAATTGGCTTTCTAAATCTTGAGTTTTCCATAGAAAGATATGGTTTTAGTATATTATGTAGCAATTCTTGAAATTTCTTGTATTTTAAATGCAAATATCTAAAAAAATCGTTCATAATCATCTAATAAGTCTTTAAATAAAGTATATTATCCCCTTCATATTCTCCATACAATTGCCTTTTTAAATAAATATTATGAATCCAGAATCTTCTTTTTCTTCGAATTTTATTTTCTTGTTACTCTGCCAATAAACAGGCTACTACTATATTTCTTTCCCTAGTGATTTGGAGCGATCAATTTCACTGTACCGTTTCACACCAGTGGTTGGAAAAAACTACAAAAGTTGTTGGTAATACAAAAGATTTGCGTACGGCGCGTACGATGCGTACGGGCAAATGTGCGAGGTCATCAGTAAAAGTCGGCGCGCACGGCGCGTACGATGCTTACGGTGCGGACAAATGTGCGTTCAGCTTAAGTGTCCAAAGCTTATATCATGTGTTGTTGACACAATTCTTACAGGAATGCAAATTACAAATATGCTATAAATGAGCCACTTGTATGAGTATGACTAAATCTATGCCTTCATTTTAGTTCCACGATTTTTTTATATGATTTCCAATCAACATTTTAGGTAAAAGAAATGACAGAAGTATTGATTGAGAACAATTATATCGAGCCATCCAACATAATATTAGGTCCATCTATCAAAGTACACTTACTTAATAACGATATAGATGGCGCTCTCAAAGAGTTTGAGCATTGTTGTAAACAGTACAGAAGTACCCCATGGAAGGGAGAGTTGATGAAGTCCCTTATATTGAAGGAAGATGCCACAAAACTGCAGTGGCTAGCAGATCTCAGTACGCAGGTAACTTATAGATAAATTTTAATATTCAAGTATATTTAAATTTTAAACTTTTATGAATTATGATTTTAAAAAAAGAGTCCCACTGGGTTTCTTGCTGGTTCTTCCGAGGGCAGAGGTATTTTTTAATATGCTGAATAAAAAAAATATTCTATACTGTATAATATTAAAACAGGAACTTTATAAACCTCCATAACTTATTTGGAATGTAATTTTAAAAATTCGGGTGTGGGCATCAAGTTTTAAAAGTGATATTTGGTAAAATATACACTCAGCATGTGACACTTTAATATGTTTGTGTGTTCATACACAAACTGGTGTAACATGGCGGAATAATTTTTCGATAACCCTCTTGGAAATGAGAGGCAAAAAATTAACGTAAATTTTAAGACCACTTATAATATGAATATTTTAAAATTCTTTTCCATATTTGGTCAGCCCATTACAAAAGAGCTGCTTTCTTAGAGTACTTGTATAAGTTCTAGTTTCGAGCTAATATAAATCGAGCAACTTTTTGGATTTGTGGCTACTGATAGTAGGTTTGTCTCCTTTGCCTGCATTCTATATTGTAATACTCTATATCTATCTATAATCCAGTGCAGTTTGCGCGCAATAAGCACTAGAATTTCTTTAGTGCTGGTGGGGAACAAACTCAGATTGTGTGCATATGAATTTTTAAGGTACTCACTTATCCCCTGAACTAATAATAACAATAATGTTCTTCAGACTGAATTTCGGTCACGGCCGTCAATCTCCATAGAGAGAAGCCATCTGCACAGGACAGGCATATAATGTACGAGCGTGTGGTTGTGCATTTTTTATTCCTTCACTCTCATAGTCCGAGATAGGACAGCAAACTGACACAACCTAATAGAGATCAGACACAGGATCAATGTATTTTACATGCTTTCTGAGGCAACTCCACCAACTTTCTGATTCCAAGCTATTACTGAGAATTTCACATGATCAGCAGATGCTTTTAGAACCCAAGAGAAGACCAACGAAGCAGTCAAAGAGTTATCCCCTGGACTACCATAGTTCAAACAATAATTGTTTATTTTGAAGATGTTAAAAAATCATTGGGGGATGTCCATTAATTACGTGAGGTGTTTATGGGGAGAGGGATTCTAGCTGAATCTCATGAAATCACACGTAGAGGAGATGGTTTATATCCAAATCTCACCAAATCTCACTTGGGGGAGAGGGAGGATCTCATCAAATATCTCGGTTTTTTTAGCATGTATAATTACGAGCAAAATTGGGTTTAATTAAGTAAAATATGGCTAAATCCTACACAATAATATTTATCGCGGTTATGCGAATTCCACAAATTATATAACAGTAATTTAAATTATGTTTTTTTTTTTTTTAAATATACCCGAGGCAATCAAACACAGATTAACACGTATATAAAAATACGTATTTTAAAAAATCTCACGTGAGATTTAGGGTGTGGGGTGTGGAGCCATATCTAATGACATCTCTTACGACATTTCACCAAGGGGAGGGGGAGGGTAGAAAAATCGCCTCACATATGTAATTAATGGATGCCCCCTTAGCTTTGAAGAGCCCTACTCTAGGAAAGATTCGCCACCATCATTATTACTTTTGTACGCGGGTCTTGCCTAATTAATTTGTAACATTTTTAATATAGTGGACGCCTGATTCTATTAATTTGTTTATATTGTTTTATTACATTTATATGTACGTTATTACAGATTCACGGGGAGGTGAATATCCTTCATGACTTAGTCCTTGCATTCATAGAGTGCGGTCGCTTGAGACAAGCTCGCCGCATATTAGAGACACCCGGCCTACAAACAAAACATAAACGCTTGGATGACGCTTGCCAACGATATGTTGAGGTATGACTAAGGAACCATTATATTCACATATGGTTTGAACATAATATGGACATTTTTCTTTCATCAATTCACTACAATTAATCAAACTTAATCAGCCCCATATCATCCCGTGGGTGTCGTAAGAGGCGACAGAGGGAAACAAATCAGGATATGGGTAGCAGCGTCTTCCTAATAACGACTAAAAATAAACAACTGCGGTTGCCAACCGTGGCAACTATGCCAAATGTCTCCCCTATGAGGCAATTTATGGGTGAGGCCTATGTTCACATGTGGACTAGTAGGCTGTAACGATAATGGGGTAATCAGCTAAACATCAAAGGAAGATATTTGCCATAGTTGCCACGAGGGTTGGCAGCTGCAGTTTTTTGTTTTGTTTCGAGTTGTTATCAGGAAAATGCTACTGCCAATATCCTGTTTCAGTGTCGGTTGGCTCTTACGATACTCACAAAATGATTTCAAAGTAGTGGATTTTATTACACCGTCACTACATGGCAATTTTTTTTTAATGATGCCTTATGTTAACGCGAATACTACACATTAAAATATAATTTAATTTTAAAAATTTTGTACAAGCCAACTCAATATAAATAATTAAGAATAACTTGAAAAACAAAAAAACCTTGATCAATATTTAGGACCACGTGTGAAGCACCAGCTTTCAAATAAAAAAAGAATCATCGAAATCGGTTCACCCAGTAAAAAGTTATAACGTAACACAGATTAAAAAAAAACACAGTCGAATTGAGTTTTGAAGACAGTAGAAAACTAGTTTTTACGTATTTTATCGCGTATATCAACTTCTTTTCTTTTCTTTACTTTACTGTCCTCTATTACTGTGTTTAACATTTTCTAGAATGTGCCAACTTGCCTGTGTAACCTACAAGATTAGCCCAGTTAGAATGTTGGGTTGGTAAGCATAGTGTCGATACTCTTTCACAAATGACGCTGTTCTCTATCACCAGTCTTTATATTTTGATTGGTCAAAGCCTCGTCTGTCATCTAGCAGGGTGTATCGCGAGCTCATAAAGTTTGCTTTTGAAGAATCAAATATTTCAATTAACATTCTCGATGTGTTGTTGAGTTCTCAAGAGGTCATGAATATTGAACAGTAGAGTTTTAACGCAATAAATAAATATAATCACGAAATAAAGACACGCTGCAGCTACATTAGTTGTAGCACGAATGGGTTGACTCGACTGGGGTAGATCTACGCTCTCACAGATTACCAGCCGTACCGTAATCGTAAAATACTGTGTTGTGTGTGTGTATTTTACACCAAAAGGAAAGATAGCATAAAAAAACTGAAGTCACACAAAGCTGATAAGAGTGTAGATACTGCTTCTTTTGTATAGACGTTTTCTCTGTTGGTGCTGCGATCATATATATCTTCGAGTTTTTATACTAGTTTTTTTAAATTATTCTGCAGTGGTTTAACAGCGTCATAATGAGCATAGATGATGAAAAGAACCTGTAAATTCTTTCTACTGTTCCGAAAAAAAGTTAAACTTGAATTAACGCTCCCTAAGTGAGTGCACTCTACATAGATTTAGTGAATGATTAGCACAAGGCGTTTTCTACGTGGTAGAGCCATGCTGCAGCTATATAAGTAGCATAGTTGTAGCACAAATTGGTCGGCTCGACCGGGGAAGGACTACGCACTCACAGAATACCAGCGTAAAATAGCAGGTCAACACTGATGTATTTCGTATGGTGAGTGTAGAGAACCGGAAACCCTTTTTTACTGGAAAAGAGGCATTCCATTTTAGTCCTCACAGCTGACAACACATCTGCATTTTGATTCGCAAACGAGGATAGATGTAGCTGTCTATGGGCCACAGCAACCACTGATCATCAGGTGGACTGTGAGACGCTTGTCACCCTTATTCTATAACAAAAAACACCTACCAAAAAGGACAAAACAACATCTGTCGAGACAGCTAGTTAGTTTAAAAATTTCTAACAGGCCTTTTTTATTACAGGAAGGTAAATCAGAATATCTAGAGGGCTTACTAGAGGCGACAAAAGAACTCTCACACATAGATCGTGCTAATATTTTCTACCATTTGCTTGTCACATACTGCAAAGCTAACGAAACTGACAAAGCTTTAGGGTTGTGGACAGTCCTTCAAGAGGAAGGTGAAATCCCTAATGACCAGTTCTTGTTTACGCTTGGTAATCATTTAAAATCACAGAATAGAGAAATTCCATTCATAATGCCTGAGGAAAAATCTCCAATGAACTTAAAGAATAAAGAGGTTATCAAAAAAGTTGAAAAAGTTACACCAAAAATTGTGCCGAAGAAAACGAAGAAAGATGTTTCTGCAGTTATAGAAAACATGGTTAAGGAAGGCAAAGCTGCCCAAGCTATGGACTATGCAATAAATTCTATTGAAGACAGTATTATTCCAAAAGATAATGTATTAAAGTTCCTTCTCAAAAAATTGGCAGAAGAGGGAAACGTGGAAAAGATACAATCATTGGGCAAATACATTAACGAATCTATGCGACGGAGTATAACTTATGATGATAAGTTGACTTTAGCTATTTTCAAAAGAGGAGCTGGCGCACAACACGTTGAAAGTTTATTGAATGCCTTGCAAGTTGCTAAGACCGATGAAGATGTACAATCTGCTCTTAGGAGGTATCCGCGTAGCAACGCACTTGCCTCAGCGATACAAGATAAGGATATACTAAACAAATGTAAGTTGTTGAACCATGATTTATTTATACATAATATACAGCTGTTGGTGAATGAATTTTGCAACTTCTTCAAGACTTGACTGATTGACGTAATTTTTACACAATATATTTGTTTTGTCATATTATTCACAATAAAGTTTATTGTGAATAATATGACAAAACTAACATGTGACATAGTTTAACTATACACATGTTGGTTAATCGCCAAAAAAGCACAAAATCTGAACACGCCGAGCACACAGTTCAACAAATGGTAAGTGAATACTATGGCCGATGTACATCTACATTTGTCTTCGATTATGAATCAAAATGTCCTGTATCACTTCTAAGTATTAAAAAGAAAGAATGGTCAGTTTACGATATTTTAATGTCAGTTTGACTGAGCTTACTTTACACTTCGAGACACAATTAACGCATCTGTACTTTAAATTGACGACCGAGTAACCTAGCAATCAGATTATTTCGCTGCTATGCCCTAGGTCTTGGGTTTGAATACAAATTAGAACAAATATTTGTATACAAAGAGCAAATTGTTGCTAGTTTGTGTGTTTTTATTGTCCCCTGTCTCTAAAACTACAACTACTATTCCATTTTAAAAGGAAGGTATTTTAAAAGGTTGTTAACATAGGAATAGCTTTATGGAAACTTGTTGACATGTTTGTTGCTTGTCATTATCATCATATTATCGCCCTTCTCAAGTCCACTACTAAACATGAACCTCCGAAGGATTGCTACAACACAGTCCTGAGCCACTTCCATTGACTTCTGGCATATCTTACTAGATTGTCACTCAATGTCATGGTACACTTCACTTACTATTACGTGGCTGATACTCGAGACCCTTTCTCCCCCATGGGTTGTCGATTCTTCAAGCTATATGGTCAGCCCATTACCACTTCAGCTTACTAATCCGTTGGGCTATGTCCGTTACTCTGACTCTACTGCAGATATCCTAATTTCTAAGTTTATAACGCAGAGGGACTCCAAGCATAGCCTTCTCCATAGCTCGCTGAGAGACCCTGAGTTTCCTTATACGGCCAGTAGTGAAGGACCACGACTCAAATCCATAAGTCATCACTGGCAACACGCACTGGTTATACAATCTTGTTTTTAAATTTCGAGGTATACCCGACGAGAAGATGTGTCGTAATCTCCCGAACGCATTTTATATGTACTAGCTGTTCAGGCATAAATTGTTCTGCCCTCTCCGACAATCCTTTGTCTGAGAGGGCAGAAAAAAAAATCCTTAAATTCGTAATCAAAAAATATTGAGTGTCACTTATCAGGTTACAAACTATCCTATCTCTCAAGTAGGACCAAACTGCACACAGTGTGATTCATCAAAAATTACATTGAAATCAGTTCAGCAGTTTAGGAGTTCATCGCGGACAAAGAATGTGACACGTAATTTTTGTATATTTCAATTTATACCCATGGACTTATTTAATACAAGAACAGCGTCCTTGTCCTATTTCACCCTAAAACTAATAAACACCTTCATTGTAAAACAATATTATTACAAATTCGCGAAAATGTTCGCTATCTGTATGCCTAGTGGATAATAATCTTTTATAGCTGAGTCTGAATGTCACATTTGAAAGTGTTTATGAAGCAATGCTTTCGTAAACAGTTTAAACCGTAAAATACATAAAGTATTATTTTTTCAGGTCAAGAAGTGGCACTGTTAGCTGCATCGAACGGATATATGTTACCAGCCAATCTACTGTGGATGGAGTTCCTTTTAGCTGGCATGGACAAAGAGGCGGATACTATTTGGAACCAATGTTTAAACAATGCTAATGTTGTTGTTTTCAGACGGCTATTACAAGAAAGCTACATTAGGAATGATAAGCAACTGATAGAGAAACTTATTAGTATTTTGAAAACAAATAAAAATTTGTCATTGGCGTCATTGGGCAACGCTTACTCGCGGTTAATAAACATGCACCTTTTAGAGAGTAAAGTTGACGAAGCAAAAGCTGCTTTCGACAGTGCTTTAAATTGTGGCGTCACAACTGATCAAATAAACAATAACACCATTCAAAGGCTCAATTCTGCATTAGAGAAAAGAGGCTAACAATTACAAACAAAATAAATGTATTAATATTAATTAACTGTTTTAGTATATTTGAAATGAAATGTGAATGCGATAGTTAGTAGGTCCAGTTCAAAAATAGTCTCTTTTGTAAGAAATTATGTCAAATTTTGATATGTCACTACCGCCACGAAATACAATTGATATTTAAAAGAAGACAAAGAAGAACAATTTGATTTGTCTACGTCTTATGTTGTATGAATACAATATCTTATGTTTAGTTTTAATAAATTATTAGTTAATCAATGTGATTTCTTATTTATTAATTATATACGTATTATCATAAATCATTTTTATTCAATATATTATTTGTGTTACTTTATGATTTCAATGAAATTATTGATGATGACTATGATATTTGTGAATACAATTAAAAGCGAAATATGAGACAGTGGTAACTAGGCTAGCTTTTAAACACTATTTCTATGTGTTACGGCAAATAAATTTAATAAGTCAAGAATGGACAGGTAGACGATGGACTTATATAGCAAACAAGGATGATATTAAAAAAATATATAGGATGAGACTATAAAGTGTCTAGTCTCACGTTTTACTTTTTTACTTACTCAATGCTCACCTAGTGACTAAGGTCGGTACTCGAAAACCGGCCGTTATTCGAAAACAGTCTAGTTTTGTACTATAATTTCACAATATCAGAATTTATGACTGATATTAAAACATAGTGATTATAAGCGACTTCCTTGCAAGAAAACAGCCCGATAAAACCAATAAATCCACAGTCGCAAACTCGCAATGTTTTCACATAAAGTTTGCACATTGGTTCGCTTTGCACGTCCGAAGGAAATGGACGTAGAGGTAGGTACCGCTGCGTCTCATTTTTTATGTGCATTACCCTGCCATTATTAATATATTAAAAATAAAAGCTTTCATTTTTTTAATGATATGTTAATATATCTTTTTTATATAGGAGAAACGAACGAGCCAAACGAGCATACAGCTCACCTACGGTAAGTGATTACCGCCGCCCATGAACAACTGCAACACCAAGGGAATTACAGTTGCGTTGCCAGCCTTTTATTTTTTTTATAGGATAAGTGTGACAAACGAGCACACAGTCCACCTGATGGTAAGTGGTTGCTGCGGCCCATAGACATCTACATCTATCCTCTATTACAAATCAAAATGCAGATGCGTTGTCACCCGTGAGGACTAAGATGGAATGTCTCATTTCCAGTAAAACGGGGTCTCCGGTTCTCTACACTCACCATGCACACAAAGCCCAACACAGCAGCATTATGCTGCTATTTTACGCTGGTATTCTGTGAGAGCGTGGTCCTTCCCCGGTCGAGCCGACCCATTCGTGCTAAAAACAAAGTTTTAAAAAGGAGTACGCTATTTTGTTGAAGGTCCTTAAGTCGTATCGGTCCGGAAAAATCTCTAGTGGTAGTCGATTCCACAAGGAAGTTGTGCGAGGAAGAAAACTTCTTTTAAATCGCACAGTGGTGGACCGACAGTCATCCAGATGGTATGGATGGTTTCGCAACTTTTGTCGCGATGTGCGATGGTGAAATTGTGCGGCTGGAATTAGTCCGAACAATTCCTCAGAGCACTCCCCGTGGTAAATGCGGTAGAATACGCAAAGAGATGTAACATCTCTTCGCAGTGCCAGTGAGTCAAGCCGATCGGAAAGAGTTCCGTCGCCGACGATTCGAACAGCTCTGCGCTGGATGCGATCAAACCTTGTGATGGCGCGGCAGGTTCGCTTCCGCATTCCCTACCTCTACGCTCAGTGTCATAGTTCAATGGAATGGTAATCCGACACAACCGAAGAGAGATCAGGCGCAGGACAATAGCTTTACGTATTTTCCTAGCCAGGAAACACCGCTTACTCCGGGCTGCCAATTAGAATTTGTTGCACGGTCGGCGTGCCACGCGAATTAATGCTCCTATCATAGTTTTTTAGTTTTACCAATACCAAGTTAAACAACAAGACACTCTTACAGTTTTGCAATGTCGGTCTGTCCGTTCATCCGCTGTTTTACTCTGAGATCTAATATCGTCTATCAAAGTTATGTGTATAGCGTTTGATTGTGGCGCGGGAACGAGTCACATGACCATTCACTAAGTGTCTGACCGAAATGCCGAATTGATTACATGAGCGCTACGCTCCCGAGAGAAAACATAATCTATTTTATTTTAGTACTTTGATAAAAAAAATAGTGATGGGACAAAGCGCCAGTGGAGCTGAGTATAAAAAAGGCCAAAATGAAAAAAGAAGAACAAGGATAGATTATCAGTAAAGCAATAAAATCGACAGCTTTTTTAAAGGTGGGAGTATAAGTAGTGTTGAAAGACCAGGAACTTTAATAACATGCACTGCCACAATAGGTACAATCAGGAAAAGATGAAACTGATTTGAACTCTGTGGCTCAACAACAACAGTCATCTGTTGAACAATCTACTTTAGAAAAAAAAACGGATATTTATGTTTTTGACGAAGAGGCGCTAGAGGAATTATCTCAGAATCAGACATTAAGTAATAACCGCGTGCAAGCAGCAGTAAATCTAAACAAAGATCTAGCTTTATGGAAAATCAACGATACCGTAAGGGAGATTATCGCAAGGTACGGCTTCGATCAAAGCAAGTCTTGTGACTTTTCTAAAAGTGAAAAAATATATGCTGATCAGCGTCCTTTCTTGCAGGTATCTTACAATGAAAAATAAATAAATAAAGATGTAAATGACCGAAATGGGCTGGTTTATTCTGTAGTAAATGGTCTGTATATTACGGACTCTGTTTGGCATTCGGTCCATTGGAGAATAAGACTCAGTTTGAGAACGAAGGATTTAATTACTTGAAAGAGGCAGAATTTCGAGTAGCTCAGCATGAAAACTCTGCGCGTCATAAATCTAGTATAGATTGATGGTCGACACGACAATTTACTGCATGTCCAGATTGATGAAGAAATTACCTTTTAGAGAAACGTTCTGAGAAGTTCGTTGCCGTAGTAAATCGAACTTTCAGGGGAAAAATTAAAAGTTGGGTGATTTGCACAACGAAAATTATTGTATAATTTTGGAACTGTTAGCTGAATTCGATCCTGATCGAATTTAGCCAGTCATATTGAACGATTTGGGAGTCAAGGATCTGGAAGTACCAACTACTACTTATCAAAAACCGTTTGCGATGAGCTTAGTTGTAAATAAAGTTTTAAAACAGATTGGAGACGAGATAAGAAGGGCGAAATATTTTTTCTTATTATCGATTCAACACCATATATATAGCACATGCACAGACGAACCCTGTAAAAGATTTCTCAAGTTTTTGCTCTCAGTGGGACATAAAGCTAAAGAAGTGTTTTCTGCCATTATATCGGAACTGAAAACACTGGTCATAAATATTGACAAGCATATGAAGGCTAGCGTGGATAATCATATGATAATGTCACGAACACGTATGGTGTGTACAATGGCTTACTACAGGCTAAAATTCAAAGCCAAACACCTTTTGCTTTCTTCGTTCCTTACTCTGACCTGCACTCTTTAATAGTGGCAACTGCGCCTGCTAAGTCTTGCACAGAAACTTGTCGTTTTTTCATGTAGCTTCAATGAATCGACGTAAGTATTACCTACGTACTTATTTTTTGTAAGTTCAACACAACGCTGGCAAAAAATATTGACTGAAATAGGGAAAGGGAAAACGCTAAAGAGAATAAATCTGACACGTTGGTTAGCTAAAGAAGATGCAGGTAGAAGTATTAGAAATGCTTTGCATGAAGTCCTTAAAACTTGGGAATCAATCGAGAATGATTGTATCAAAAAGCCTGTAACGCAAAACAAAGCGACGGGAATACTTTTGAATTTAGGAAAACTTGAAACATTGGTAATGATTGTTGTGTGGATTGTATTTTTTGGAAAGAATAAACAAAGTGAATGTATAAATTCAGGCTTCTACCGTAGGTTTGATCACTCTTCTTGTAAGTTTTTCGCAAGTGAACGAAAAAAATTTAAGTATTACGACAATTTCGGAATTAAGCGTACTGCTACGAAGCAGTATACAAAAGAAGGGGGTAAAAAGACAACCGAAAGAAAAAAAAATGATGAAACACCCGATAAAGAAATGAAAATAACTATGAGTGATACTTTCAGGGCTAACACATATCTCATCCTCATTGATAGACTCGTATCCGAATTAAAAAAAAAACGGCAGGAGGCCTACAACAGGCTTAGTGAAAAGTTTTCATTTTTGACCAAAATGAGTGAATTGTCATCATCAATCATTACAGGAAAAGCCTTTTTCTTGGAAGAAATGTATTAGAGACAGACTTAGTTCAAGAATGCCACCATTCATTCATTTTCAATGCAACCTTTCTTCTAAAGGGTTTTGAGGAAACCGTATTCTGTATTACTGAAAAGTCTATCTTCGTTCCTGCGACAGAATTTGCAAAAGGTTTATCCAAAATTTATATAATTAATAGCAGTTCGCGTAGCTCTACCTCTACACCAGTGACAGATTGTTCAGGTGAGGAGGCTTTTCTTGCTTAAATCGGGTGAAAAATTATCTAAGATATCTCTTTTGGGCATAGCGTCAGAACTAATGAACGAGATTTCATACGACGATAATTGATGATTTTGCGAATAGGAAATGGCGCAAAAAGGTACTTATTATTATGAATTATTGTTTTTAAACTGTAAGTAAGCGCAATAAAAATTATTTAATTGCGTTTTCTGCCGACTTCCAAAAAGGAGACGGTACTCAATTCGACTGTATTTTTTTGTGTGTTACCTCATAACTTTGTACTGGGCGAACCGATTTCGATGATTCTTTTTTTATATGAAAGCTGATAGTTCTCTTGTGGTCCCATATGAATTTGATCAAGGTCAGACCAATAGTTTTTGAGTTATTCTTAAATAACTTATATTGAAGTCGGATGTACAAAATTTTTAATTTTAAATTATTTACCGAATGTACATACTTCATTCTATAAGTAGTATTAAGGCATGCCTTACCCCGCCTAATT